TATAAACATCATGTATTTTTATCCTCCAACAGCCACCTAAGCTTTTGTTTTTTGACTACCCTGAGAATTAGAAATAACAAATAGGAGGTAAGATGAGAAGAAGAGGGGTATTTTCCCTCTCTCCTATTTCTCCCTCTCTCCCCTTCTCTCCCTCTCTCTCATACTCTCCCTGTCCCTCATGTTCTCTCCCTCTCTCTCTCTCATTCTATCCTTCTCCCTCTCCATCATGTTCTCTCCCTCTCTCACTCTCTTTGTTGTGTTTTTCCCTTTCTCCCATTCTCTCTTGTCTTTGGCTTTTTGAGGGACATGCAGATGAAGTCAATGCCTGAAATTCTCTTCTGATTCTTGAAATAGTTTCCATTGTCCACGTGAAGCTTTCCTCATTTTGTTTAATCCTTTTGTCCAGGTGATAGGTGTATGAGGAAATTAAACCTTATTTCCTTCACTTCCATTGCTTTAGTTTCAGTCCTTAGTTCATTGATTTCCCAAATATTCTCATTTTATCTATGGGTGACAAGCAGAAATAGCTTTCCAATTTCTTTCATTTCTGAGTTTTCAGTCATAGATGTTTTTGCTTTGGGTGATAGATCAAGCTTCCACAGGCCCAATTCTATATTTTACATAGATTTTCACAAGAGGATAAATAGAGTTTGAGTCAACTTCTCTATTTTGTTTTATCTTTTGTAACATACACTCTTAGTGACGTGATTTTCTCCAACGTTTACAATTCTCTTTTCCAGTCATCAATCCAATTGACTCTCATGTGAATCAAATTTTTAAAAATTGCGACAAAGGATCTATTATTCTGATAATGAACTTAAAAATCATTGAGTAATTGAAGGTTTCAACATGACCTGGAAATATACATATTGGTGTAGATGATTCTTGGAGGTGACGAAGAATTTTCGTTTTAGTTTCTATGCTATCCTTAGTTCAATTAAATTTGAGAATAGAAACAACACAATAGAATTGATATATAATAAAGTTAAATTTTCATATTTGTAAGGTAAAAATAACATAAATGTCGCATATTCTCATGAAAATGATATATATTTGGTGAAAAATGAGATTTATAAATTTATTATTTTTATAAATTTTTGGTCATTTTTCCAAGTCAAACCAAGCAAGAACATATTGACAATGACTGAATAGATTTCTTGATCTTTAAAGGAAACATGATTTGGTCATTAAAATGAAAATGTGAAAATATTCAAATAAAAATATTAGTTATATTGATTGTTTCTTATTCTAACCTATTTTATTTGAGTTTTATTGTATTTCATGGCCTAAAGTCTTGAGAAGAATTATATGAATTTTAGGATCAAGGAAACAACCCATTTTCATGAGCTCCTCATAGCTCCATGAGAAGAACTACTCAAGCACAAAAAGAGACTTCATTCAAGTCTGCAAAAAAACCATTATGAGATCTCGACTCAAGTCCATGAAAAAAGCCATTAAGAGACAGCTACTAGAAGAGTCAAAGGATCATGTGGAGAGATAAGGAAGATCTACTAAAGTAGGAGGCAGTTATAGAATAGGCCATTGGGATGCTGATGTCATCAAGCCATGAACCTTGGTAGCAACAAAAGGAAGGAAATGAGGCAGAAAAGGAGGGTGGCTGGTTGGTGGATAGGTCAAAAACAAGGAAGAAAGCTGAAAGAGCAAGGCAAGGGAAGAGCAAGGAGAATCTCAGGACTAGCTGACTGTGTTTAACACAGTTCTATGTAATTTTAATTTTTATTATTGTGTTATTTCATTTATTTTATGTCCTTTAGGTGACATACATTGATCAAAATGAATATTTTCTCGAATTTATTTTATCTGTGTTTAGTTCTTCTCATTTTCTTGGGTGGCAAACAAGGAAAGGAGAGAGTTTTAATTGTCCTTCCAAGTTTTCATTATTGTGAATTTAATTAAACTTAAATTATAATTGATTGCACACTCTTTTTTCATCCTTGGGTGATAGACATGGAAAGGAAAATATTTTTCTTTTAATTTTAAGACTTAAATAAATTTAATATTTTAATCAAATGATTTCTAAGGACTTTGCAGCATGATGAACAACTCAGTCTGTTTTTCTTTTTAGTACTTATTTGTTATCACGAATGTAATTTTTTTAGTTTATCCTTGATTGACAACTAAAGTGTTTTTACATTTCATCTATTTTCATTTTATATTGGATCTTCGCTTCAAATATTTCAAAATATTCTCCAATTCAATAGAAGTTATTATATTGATAATTGCTCTTCTCATATTTTCGCATCACATTTTCTAAACTATTTTTCTCTATTCGTGATTTAATCATCTCATCATTAAAACTTTTCTTCATCTTATTTCAAGATGTCAAGAAATAAGCATGTGAAACTAATCAGTAAAGGAGGTTAGTAATTAAGAAAGATAAACTTTCATCACTCATCTTATCTCATTTTATTTTTCTTCTTTTCTTTTGAATCATTATCTTCGTTAGAAAATTAGAAATCAATTAAAACTAGTTCTCATCATTCTTGAGGTTCAAACCTGAACTTGCATTAATACTAAAAACTCATTTAGAAGGTTCAACATAAATATTATAAATTTTCTTATAGTAAAATATGGCAACTAATGCACAATAAATATTCATCCCTCTGATCTACTTGGATTCACCAATTTTTATGGTTGATTTTCTATTTTGAATCTAGTTATAAATATTGAGGTTTGATGCATTTGGCCAAAAACAGTTAGAGCATATCTAGCCACAATGTCCAATGATGAATTTGTAAAGGAGAAGAGAAGAGGAAGATTAAGTAATCTATTAACTCATAATTATCTACCCAAGCATATAGAGGATAGGAAGAATAGAACTCTTCAACTCGAATATACAATGAAGAGGAAAGATCCTCAATTTTTAGGTAAATCATCCCATTTTGAGTGCTTAAATTGAGAAGAATTAAGGCATTCCTAGAACTTGAAATCTAAAAGAGTGAAGCTGACTTTCCTAATTAGGCCAATGAGAGCTATGTAATCTAGAAGGAAATTCAAAGGAAATCCTAGGGTAACTAGAGGTGTTTTGCAGACAAGACTACCTCTTTCCATAACATATCAGAAAATTGGTACCAAAGCCATGGCAATGATTTTTATGGGCTCTACCGGTTCTAGATTTTTACCACATACAATCATCAAACCAGAGACCAAAGCAGGGCGCAACAAAAAGAAACTATCATGGTATGTCATCCTTTCCTGAAATGGAACATGAATGCTTCCAAAAAAAGACATTCAAGTCACTTCAAATTCATTTTAATTCATTAGATTTGATTTGTGAGCACTCTTTCCTCCCCCTTTGCTGAAAATCCCCTATAGTATAAGTCCAATGGGTTGCCTAAGCCTCAAATTAAGAGTGTAACCACCAAGGATGCTGCCATTAGGAAGTAGATGTAGGTCAAAAGAACCACATGCTATAGAGTTGTGCTAAATTGACAATGCTCATCTCTAGAAAGAAAATATTTTGATGAAATTATTTGAAAAGGAAAAAGAGCAAATCACCACTTTCCTCTTTATGTTGTAGTGCCATATAGAGGCCAATACTTAGCACCCTATCTAGCATAACTTGGGGCTGCCAATACTATACTTATGCCTCTAAACTTGCTGTTAAGTATTAAAATTTCTACTCAACATAGATCCTAGAGAATAAAAATAATTAGTTCCTAAAGAGTTACTGTGTAGCATCATTAAGTGTGGTGATATTGGGCTGAATATTTTTGAAGCTTCTATTAGTGCAGCATGTTTTATTAATATGAAATTGTCATTTCTGTGTAGAGTAACTTTATCAATGTTGGAGTGGTTAGTCCTTTAATTGACAACATTCTAGTTTGATTATGTGCTTGGAATAATCAAGAAAAATTCTAGCAATTCGAAACTCCTTCTGAACTAATCTGCAACATTATGAGTAGCTATATTAAATCCACCATAAGTGCTGGACACTAGTGGAGGTGGTGCCGACAAAGAGAGAGCCATTGGCTCAGATTCGAAGAGAGAGAAATAGAAAGGCATTGAACACACACTGAAAAAGTATTCTCAAGCATGCTATCACACTAGTGCATGTGTGGTATGGTGAGAATGCTATGGAAATATGTGTCAAGTGGACGGGTTTATAACAACATGTTCAAACACTCTGGTAATATGTACAGTAACATGCCGCCCCCGAGATAATGTGCTATACTCTCATAGAACTCACTAAATATGAGTTTTGCTTGAGTGTTTGAGCGGATAAAAAAGATGGGCTAAATTCATTTAGGAGAAAAAGTTAGCAAGCAAGTCTTCAGTATCAAGTGTCTTAAGTGAGAGTTTGTAGACAAAAATATACAATTTACCTTAGGCTCTATGTCCATGAACCATGCCAAATGTCAAGTTGGAAATGATGAGATACCATGGATAATAAAAACATGAAAACATAGGCAATGGACACTAGTTTCCAAGACCTTGTTCTTTCATTGGCTTCAACTAAGCTTTTAAATGAAAGATTAAACCTTGACTTTCTTGCCTCAGGCCCACCAAAGATAGGCTAACGATTTTACGCAAGCCAAGCCAGTAACCTTCACAATGTGCCCATATGCAAATAGCCTGTACAACACTAATAGGCACACTAATAAGTTTACCGCTGTCTATGAAGCCAAAAAACTGGCTAGCTCATGACGGCGTCTTCAAGAAATCAAAGTTGGCATCTTCCTCGGACCACATGAACACTAGAAAGATCCCTGAATATTGAGAGAAATCGAGAGAACCCATGTGAATGGTCTCCGGGCCTGTGCATAGTCTTTGACTTTGCAGCACCGACCCGTGCACCCTCAGAGAGAAACCTTAAAGTCAGCGCAACACACGTTCTTCCCCAGCACGAAGAACCTTCCTTGACTTCCTCCATCGACACAAGAGTCTGCGAGGAAAATCAAGAAGTCAAAAGGACCAGCGTTACCTACTGTTCCTCTTCGTTATGACAGCAAAGGTGTTGTTCCAGCATAGGCTTGGGGTCAGATGATGAGAGAATCGGCGCCGCCGGTCCCGGCCCTCTGCCCACTCGTCCGATCCTTTCTTCCATTACTTCTGCTTCTCGGCATCCGCTGCCTGCAGATTCCACAGACTGCAGTTAGAAATGATTCCATTGCCTGCCTGCCTGCGCCAGGAGGAACCTCCGAAGACATATCGGCCTCACCTCAAGCTGCTGAGCTTCCGGGTGAGCTCGCTGATCTCCATGGCCGACAGTTTCAGCGACATCAGGGTCCCCGGCACCTCCTCCTCCGCCGCCCTCAAGAGCCGCCCCATTGCTGCCTCCAGCTTACTCAAAGCCTGTCATCACAAACCACAACGTATCATCTGACGATCGTCTCCGAAGACGCTGGGGGGAGAAACAGATAAAGAAAACCGGAGATCAGAGCTTGTGGCGCGTTCGCGGCGAATCGGCTTACCCTCATTGCCGGAAGGGAGACCACAAGCATAGCGAGGAACGACCCGAACACCTGAAACTCCGGGAAAAAAGAAAGTTCAGGAGAATTCTTCCGTCTGCGACACCCAAATCGGCATTTCGACGAACAGCATGGAGGCATAGTGTATCTGGCCAGGGCTGTACCATCGAGATGACGAGGAAGATACAGAGAAGCCCGAGAGCCGGTGCCGGAGAGGACGACCCAAGCCTCTCGCCAGCCGGCCGAGACAAGGAGACGCTCGGAGAAGGTGAGACCTCGATCGCCTGCCGGAAGAGGCGCAGCGGGGGGCGATCGCCGGCGGCAGGCCGGATTTGCGCCACAAACGCGCTATCATGACTCGTGCGCGGAGACGCAGCGGTGGAGGGCTGCCGCCGGCAGATAGCCGCCGAGACCCACTGACGGGCCGCAGGCGGAGGGATGATGCGAGACGGCGCTGACGGAGCCAGCGGGGTAGAGGGAGAGAAGGGCGTCATCCTTTCGGCTCCGCGCTGAAGGCGGTGTTTTCGTGTCCGCCTTTTTGTGGGACCATTCGGCCCAGATCGCACGAGAACCACACGGATAGAGCGAGCGAGCGAGCGAGAGAGAGAGACAGAGAGAGAGAGAGGGTCGCAAGCATAGTAGCCACAAGCGGAGAGTCGAAGCGTCTGACCCCACGTTGCTCGTCGGTAGACCCCATCGTGCTCTCCTGCTCGGGACCTGCGGAGGACGGTGAAACCCGGAAAGCGGAAAGGGAGTAGAGAAAGAAAGATAGGGAGGTAGATCCCCAGCGGACCCGAATGGGAAAGTGCTTCCCGTGCTCCAGTTTTCGTGGCTGTCCAATATATGATCCTGATTCCAGCAGCTCGACAGTTCGAAGCACGCTGTCAAAAATCCAGAATAAAGAAGCAACCCACGCCCTGAAGCAGATTAGGTCGGGGTGGCTCCTCGTCTGGTTATTTCTCTATCTCTCTACACCTCTCTCTCTCTCTTGCTGGCTCGCGTGTAGTATATAAACCACACGCCACCGCAGGCTGCGTGAGACCCGTCTCCACCTTCTCTTCTGCCCATTTCCCGGTAGTAGCGGAGACTTTCTCCTCTGTTCTTCGTCAGGCTCCCTTTCCACGAAAGCTCTGCCCTGTGAGGAGTGAAGAACGAAATAGAGGTGGGGTGCGTGGGGTAGGGGAGGGTTAGAGAGAGAGAGAGAGAGAGAGAGAGAGAGAGAGAGAGAGAGGCAGGTCTGAAGCACCCCCATAATGGAGGAGGCCCAAGGTAATTATTCTCTCTTCTGGTCTCCGTTCCCCCGCTCTGTAGACCGACATGCATTGGCTCTGTGGTCTATTATGCTCTTTTCGATCTTCCGTGCCTCATCTTCCACCGTCTCTTCTTCTTCTTCTGATGAATTTGGAACGGCGGTCCCGGATTCTTCTCCTCCCCCTTCTCCTTCTTCTTCTTCTGCTGCCTCTATCGGATTTTCTGCCTCATGCCTTCTCTTATGGGATCTGAACACATGATTGAATCACCCCGAATAGTTTCAACACGATGGTGAAGTGGAGAATCAGGAATTTCTGCTCCCCGGCTGGTTTCCATCTGCCGCGATTTATCCTTGCAGATTGTCGGAATCGGAACTCTCGCTACAACGCTTGTGCCACTCCCCCCACCCCCCCGACACCCACCCACTCTAATCGGCCATTGATGTTGACGACTTTAATTTCATTGTATCTGGAGTCTTGATGGCTCACGTCCCAATCTTGAGCCAATCCAGAATTGTAATCGGGATCAGGGGAGGAGCTCCCCCTGTGGAACGCTGTCTCAGATGGGGAAAGTCTGCGGCTCCTCTGAGATCTCTAGGGTTTCATGATTCTCATCCTTCGGGGGACGACAGTTCCTCGAGCCCCCTTGGGGAGATGCAACCTGGTGAGGAACAGAAGCCCCTGGACCGGCCTCAGAGTGGAATGGGGGAGCCGATCTATCATCGATGATCTATCAGACATCTCGCTGGTGAGGGAGATCTATGGGGAAATGCGCATCGAAATCGAATCAGGGGATTGATTACCTTCTAGATTGAAGATAAAATTGTGGGGGTTCGCATTTCTCTTTCTCTCCTCGACATCTATGCAATCCTGAACCCTCTGCAGTTCAGATACCATCATCATCAGTCATGGAGGATCCCTCTGGCGAAATCTGATATCTCAGGCATTCATTTACTCTGGCATGATGAAGCAATCACAAATTTTCCGACAAGAGGGAGAGGGTGGATGGATAGAGAGGGCTTACCTTCTACATTTTCCTGCTAGATTCCTTTTTTCCCCCTCCTCAATCTTGTCATCATATCTCCCGCATCTTCACAGGACAGGAATTAATCTAGTGAATTTGATATATTTTTCCTCGAATTTTACCTCCTAGATTTTCCTTCAAGATCTTTCTTTTTGTCCTCCTTAATGTTGTCGTCATATCTCCCTGATCTCTGCTCACGGGGAATTACTCCAGTGAATTTTGCTTTGTTTTTCCTCTCTCTGTGTTGCTCAATGGCTACTCCTGTATCTGATCTCTCGCAGTGGTGGAATCCAAGGACGGAACCATCTCCGTAGCCTCTGCGTTCCCGGGCCATCAGGAAGGTAAATGCCGCCACCGCCCTCATCTGCCGACCTCCTCCCCCTCTCTATGGGGGAACATCATAGTGATTGTGGGTGCACCATTCCCGTGATGGATTGCTTGTTCGATCAGGGCGTTGACCTTGGGTTTGATTGCCTGGTGCCCAGCTGTGAAGGACAGGGATCACAAGTTCTTGTCGAGGGCCGTTGAAGAGGCATACCACGGAGTTGACATTGGGCATGGAGGTCCCTTTGGCGCCGTCGTCGTCCGCAACGATGAGGTAGTCGTGAGCTGCCACAACATGGTCTTGAAGAACACCGACCCAACTGCCCACGCCGAGGTGACGGCAATCAGGGAGGTAAGGCAGCTCTGCCTAGAACAGTGTTCATCCTCTCTGTTTGATATTATTATTTTCCCCCTTGATCCAGAAAATAAAAAACGAAAATTGAATGATGAATACCCATGAAATGGAGCCATTTTTTTCATTTATCTTTTCTTTTCTTCTACCTTGATCACCGCTATCATTGATTTGTTTGATTTTCTTTCTTTTGCTTTTCGTGTGAAGGCGTGTAAGAAGCTGGGGCAGATCGAGCTCTCCGACTGCGAGATCTATGCTTCCTGTGAGCCCTGTCCTATGTGCTTCGGCGCGATCCACCTCTCCCGGATCAAGGTGGGCGGCTCTACCGGGCTTAGCTCCAACTTTAAGGGGGGGGAGGGGGGGTCTTTGATTGATCTTTGTCCTCATCCCTGGTCTGGCTTCCACTCGTCCCATTTCGCAGAGGCTGGTCTACGGAGCGAAGGCGGAAGCGGCCATTGCCATCGGCTTCGACGACTTTATCGCCGACGCCCTCAGGGGCACCGGCTTCTACCAGAAAGCCCACCTGGAGATCAAGAAAGCTGACGGAACGGGGGCTATCATCGCCGAAGAGGTCTTCGAGAAAACCAAGGAGAAGTTTCAGCTCTATTGATCATGGGGGCGGACTCCAGAACCACCCACCCCCGCCCCAGTTGATATCCTCTCCTACTCACACCTCTCGTTGTTCTTGGCGATGGAACTTTTCTCAGTGATCTCTCTGCATTCCAATAAGCGACTGACTCCTCATTTGATTTTTTGAACCACCCCTTCCCTCCCTCTCTTCCTACGGAAATATCCACACCCTGAGGAGATTTGCGTGCTATTTGTTCTGAGACTATGGTTCCAGAAACACTTGCTTAAATCTTGAAGCAGACAAGATTTTTTTCAATAAGAAAAATATGCAAGCAGGACCTCAGATTGGCGCGCCGAATCTCAAGGCTTGACTTGCTAGGCAAACCCACTTGTCTGCTAGTGAGTCCCCCACCATGATAGAAGGAAAGGGTTGACTTCAGATCGGGCCAAGCACTCGTTTTTGACTGCTTTCATCTCTTCCCAGTTGGCATGAGGCATCGATTCGAACACAAGCTTCCGGGTCGTGTTGGGATGCAGGGCTAAGATTGCTCAGGCTCAGGAGGTGTCGAATGCTGAAGGATGGAAACCAGACCATCTGTCACTAGAAGGATGGCCGAAGAAGAAGAAGAAGAAGAAATAGGTATCTGAAGACCCATTCGTCTCAGAGCGCGAGTTTATATGGAACCCGAGTGTAAGAGATAGGAAGAAATTGATAGATTCGATCATTTCCGTCCGAGGCAAGTTTCAGAGGAGAAAAAGCGAAGACCCAGCTGGCAATCACATTCAACAGGCACGATCAGAAACAGACCGATTCATGTCGGGCTATGATCTTCCGATCAGACCCCAATTCATAATTTTTTCTAGCAGGAGGAGAAGAAGAAAGAAGAAACTGGCGAGCTCATTGAGAATTCCCACTGCGTAATTTTTATCTTAAGAATACGACTGGTAAAGGGCTGCCGTTTCAGGAGATGATGAGAGATTAATGACACACCGAGAAGAGAAACCATGGCCATGCGCATTAAATCCTTCCTAGCTGCAGGATGCGGATTTAATGCTGGAACAGTTCGCCAAGATCAAGCACTCCGAGGTGAGTACGAAAGGTAAGCATGCATTAGGACTACACTAGACAAGTGGATGCGACCAGAAATGATTTGAGTCACAACAACTGGGAGATTCTCGGACACTGATCGGAAGAGGCGGGATGGGAAATTTACACACGACGGTTTCCCCATTCCCTCGAGCGATGTGGAGAAGAAGAACTGGTGGCTGATGAAGAAGGAAAAGAAGAAGGGACCCTCACCGGCGAGCAGCTCCTCTGGAGTTATGGACACAAGAGGGGGAGGCAGACGTTCGTTCCAGTCCGCCAAAGCAATGCTGGGCTGACCCTCCCTGCATCTCACTTCCGGAGCTCCTCGAGCATCAGCTTGATCTGGTCCTGCACGAGCTCTATCCTCTTCGAGTAAACCTCCAGCTCCAGAATCTGCTGTTTCCGCCACTTCTCATCCAAGGCCGTAGCGCTGGGCAGGCTCGCCGGATTGCCGATGACGCTCAGAGGCACTGGGTTGAGGTGGTGGTGGCGTCCGGGCGCCGGAAAGCCGCCGGTGCCTGCAAGGGGGGGGGCTCCCGGCGGCAGCTGCCCGATCGGTCCTCCCACTGCGCTGTACAGGAGCTCCTTGAACAGCGGAGAGAGGCAGCTCCTCACCGTCTCCTCGATCACATTCGGCACGGAGGCCATCACCGTCGGTATGTGGCTTTCCGCAACCTTGACCTCCACTGGAGCCTCCGGCGTCAGCAGCAGCGCCTCTGCTGCTGCACCCACATGCACCCTCCTCCGGCCCCGCCTCCGCATCCTCCGGCGATCCGAGTTCGACAACAGAGCGCCATGCTGTTCGTCCCCGATCTGCTGAGGCGTGGGATCGTCGTCGTCATCGTCGTCCGGGCCGGCGCCGCCGCCGCGGGAGTAGATGCTGTTGCCCCAGATCCGGCGGGACAGCTCGAAGGTGGCCTGGTCGTGGGGGCTCTTGAAGGCGTACTCCTTGCCGGTGTTCATCTTATTCATAATGTTGCGGTACTTCTTCTTCAGCCGGCGGAGCTTCTCCACCAGCTGGTTCTTGTTGAAGTCCAGCTGCAGTCTCGTTTTGATCTGGTCGTAAAAGGGGCCGGTGTCGTGGTGGTGCGTCTGGTGCGCCGCCGTGGCGCTCCGCTGCGAGGTGAAGTCGAGGAAGCCCTGCAGGATGGCGATCTCATCTTCATCGGTGAACAGCCGCTGGAAGAGACGCCGCGAGTCCTCCAGAATCGCCAGGGGCTTCTTCTCCGCGGCGGCCCCTTCCCCTACCAGCTCCGACCCGGGCTCCGTCCTCTGCCTCTTCCGATCCGGCGGGGTGTCGAATCCGCCGTTCTCGTCCGCGGCGGCGACGGCTGGAACCGACACCACATCGCCCGGCGGCGCCGCCGCCGCCTCACCGCCGTTGAAGCCAGGGTTCAGCTTCCCAGGAACCGCGGCGGCGGCAGGGTTACCGTTTGGATTAGGACTGGGGACGGTGGCGGTGCCCAGAAGGGAAGTCGAGGGGGACGAAGACGATCCGCTGAGAACCCTAGGCGGGCCGACCAGCACAGCCGGCGGCTTCTGCTCCTCATCCTCGTCCTCCTCGTCCTCCAACTCGTCCGTTTCCTCGTCGACTTCCTCCTCGTCCTCCTCGGAGTCGTCCAGCTCGTCGTCGTCGGCGAGGAAACCGGCGGGGCGGTCTTCCCCGGCCGCTGCCACGTCACCTCCCGCCGCCGGCGACACCATGTCCTCCGTCCCCTCAGAAGGAGAAAACCGAGGAGGAATCCGACCAGCTCGGCCCAGCAGCAGCCGCGGCGAAGGGGCGGAGGGAGCCCGGTGGATGGTGAGCGGCGGGATCGGCCGCCCGCGGTTGGCCTTCCATTTATTTATTATAGCGTCCGGCGGGGAGCGGGGGTGGCGTGGTGGCTAGGGCTAATTGCACCGCCGCCCACCCCGCCCCACGCGCATACAGGTCTGCGCGGCCCCCCCCCTCCCCCCCCGGGGAAGGTCCGCTCCCTCTCTTTTCCTTCACCTCCCCAAGTCACCGCCCTCCTCCTTTCCTGAGGACGGCCTGCGGCTACAGTAACTAGGTGACGAGAACGGGCGTGGACCTGGCGAATGCCGTGATCCCGTCACCTTCGGTGCTCTCAAGTAGCGGTCACCCTGTCACCGCCTCCGCGGCGCTCATAAGAGCGAACTGGTGCTCTGTCCCCTTTTTTCCTCGCGGGTTTCACGCGGTAGTGTTTTGAAGGTGACTGGTAAAGGCGGTGGGCAATTGATCGCAGCCGTACGATTAATGACAAGAGAATCGGACGGTCAACAGCCAGAGCCACCGGAGGGGTGTGACGTGTTGTGGATTGGGCCCATCAATGTCGTGGCATGTTTTGGTTGGTCGAGGATCGAAGGCTAGAAGGTCAATATGCCCTTCCCCGGAGATATCCTTACTTTTCCTCAAAATAATTAACTAAATAAGCGGAGTTTTTTATTCCAAGCTTATATTAATCATTTAATATCTGTTTAAATTAAGCTGTGAAAATTAACTTAGAGAGAGAGAGAGAGAGAGAGAGAGGGAGAGAGATGGGCGACCAAGTGGGTGACCAGAGGAGGGTGAGAATGGGCGATGTCTGGCAGCCAGTCTCAGCCACCAAGAGACAGAGGCCTGCCTCGCCGCAGGGGGTTGGAACTCTTGTTGTCACTCTTGGGGTTTGGCCGGTATATAAACCGATTCTCTCCCGTCGTCTTCTTGTCGTTTGATACTTGGCTGCAAATGATAGCTCTTGCAGCCACTAAGGAATGAGACCCTTCTATTTACGTCTTATCGGACCATCCGTGACAAAGGAACGTGAACCAAAAGCTCTCTTGTTGTAGCCCATCTACGGCCCAACTCAAGTGGACTAAAAGTCTAGGGAGCGTGAAGGTTGGATTGTTCGCACAAGACGGCCCATTAAATAATCCGGCCCATGGTAATAATACACCTTAAACAGGTCACAAATCAGTTTTCTTGTTTTTAATTTATTTTCTCATTTTTTTCATTTTAAATGTATTTAAATGGGACTAAATCAGAATTAAGATGTCATCATGATAAAACCACCTTTTCAAGGCCACCACAAAATAGACTTTTGGCCTATTTAAAGGCCTCATTATTCAATATTATGAGTTTTTCTTATTTTCTATATTTTATTTCATTGATGGTGGTTTTGGCGTCACCCCTGTTGTTCCTATGAATTCAAGATTATCCCATGGTTTGAAGCTTCCAAGTTTAGTGGACTCAAAGGGAAATAATCTTCACATAAGTTTTATTTCTTGTTGATTCGGGGACAAGATTTATTCCTCACATAACTCAAGCTATGCCAATTGGTATTAGAGCAAAAATAGGAGAAAATTATACCTAGCAGATTAAAAGCTTTATTTTCACTCTTCCCTACCTTGAGATTTGTGTCTTGTGGGTTCAAGACTTCACTATGTGATCTTTACAACTTTGACTCGATCAAATTGTCATCTATCATTTCTTACTATGTTACACTATCAAAGAAAGACTTCACATTCTAGATTTATCTTTGAAGATGTCACGTGATAAAGAGTTACATATTAATGAGGATGAAATCCTCGAATGTATTCCCTTGTCTTGGATGAAATTTCTTGAATTTTAAAAATATATTCATAAATAAATTTGAACATATAAGATAATGGAAAGGCCAAATTATTCATAATGGAAAGGATTTCACTTGTGATTCATAGAAAAACATATTAAATGACACATCTATGCCAAAACGTAAGATTGTGCTATCCCATGAAGACTTTCTAGTCACTTTTTACTAGAAAAACTCACAAATTTAAGAACAAAAATATACAAACTATTAATTAGAGTTTTATGTTGTAGTTAAATCATTACATAATCAAGACCATTATCATATTCAATGATAATTTATTTCTATTTATTAATCCTCAAACCCCAAGGTCTATTAAGAGTCAAATTAATATCAACAAAATATTAATGCCCTTGGTTTTGATATTACAAGTGAAAATTTTATTTAATGAATATTAAGAAACATTGATATATGTTATGGATTTACATTAAATATTCAATGTGTTCAATGCGATATCATATGATTTATATTTATTGATTTCATAATACTATCCCTAATGATCGAATATAAGTTATTAATCTTTGAGATCCAAAGAATCTTCATAATAGGAACACTTGATTGTTGATCAATGTCTATCAAGAAATCACCATTTGATCAGAAGATACGTACATAGTTAAATTAGTATAGATAACTTGTGATCATGACATTATTTATGTCTATATATTTAAACTAACATTAAAATCCAACATCTGATCTCTCTAAATAAACTTAGACAATTTTCTACACTCCAACAAGGATTTCTTATATTTTCACATGGATAAGTCATCAAAAGAGTTTGAAAAATAAATGACATAAATAAGTCTCAAACTCCGAATTTGGATGGTGACATGTCATCAGCTTATGTGGATGAAAACCAAATAAGAAAGTGATTATTTGGCCCAAACTTCAACAAATAAATTGTTCACATCAACCAAGGAAGGTCTAATTCAAATTTAAAATCAAACAAATAAGAGAGAAAAATTCAAAACATGAATGATCAAAAGTTATTATTGCATGTTCTGGAAAACAAGAAGTTTTTTAACACATTTTCTAAAATTTTTCTAAACCCTATCAAAGTAGAAAAATATTAGAAGAAAACTTTTGATAAATAAGGAGGTGGATGAGAAACAGAATATGACTCTTTAGATGAATATCAAGTGAGAAATTCAAGCTCTTCTTTCCAAACACATCAATGATGAATGTAAACTACATCTTCATCTTCATCTGATTTTGACAACTCAAACAACATCCAACTTAAAATGAAACACTCTCCATCAAGCGAAAGGTTACTAAGTGGTGAAGGAAGAGTTTATTTTGACTTAAAAGGGTAGAATCTTTGTAGAGATGAACTTGAGTGGTTGGGTGGTTGAGCCTGTGAACATCAGCATGTATGTCTTAAGAGAAATAATGAAACACTTGTAGGAAGACTCCTTTGAAACTAAATATAGACAAGTGAGGCACCCCCCGCCTAAAATCAGCATAAAAAATCTCAATATCTCTAGTGAGACAAAGTTACACGCACACTGATGTCAACACATCTAGTGATAACCCACATAGATAGTTAGCCAAAAATGAAAAATAGTCAAAAATTTAGAAACTCAATTCACCCCCCGCCTTCCTATTGGAGTTTCATCTAGTCCTATAGTTCTAGCACAATATATATATATAATATGAAAATTATTGATTTTAAACATTTGAAAGAATATGCAGATGATGAAGATTCTACTAGTCTATCTTCATTTTTCATTTTTTTACTAAATTTAGGGCATCCTCTAAATTTGATAGATTTTTCAAAACAAATCGGAATAGTAATTATTGAGAACAAGATGGTAGACCGTACTAAGGTAATAAATGAAAATTTTGAGAAGCATCTTTCCGTATATTACAATAACTATAGAAAAACGATCCATAAGAGGAGGACAAAATTCATATTGTCCTCCTCTTATGGTATATTTGAGGAAGTAAAAGATTGATGTGGTAATTATTAATACGTTAAGTCTAAAAATAGGTATGTCTTCTACTTTCAATATTAGAAAAATTGATGATTATTATGCAGACCATATGAAGACTTTAAAATGAGTTCTTTGAAGCAAGGAAGACTAATTTGACCTAATTATGGTGCAACTCAAGTGAACTAGAAGCCAAAGAAATGAAGGTTAGCTTAATAGACAACCTTCACATCTAAAATGGATCAGATATTGATTTTTTTAATTTTAGTCGTTTCAATTTATTTAAGTGGGCCTTAATTTAAATTCATACGCCATCATAAAAAGGCCACATTTTTAAGTTTCGACTTAATAGACTTTTGACTTATTTAAAGACTCTTGGTAGTCTTGGAAGTATTATTTAATATTATATCTCATTATTGGTGGATTCAATTTATTTTTTTTTCTTGTGGACTCAAGATGGCTATGTAATATTGTCATTTGATTCAAACGCTAACACTATCTTTCTGATTTCTCGATTTGTTTTTCTTTGTGCCTAGGAAAGCCTAATAACTACTGTCCTTAAGCTTATGATAACTAAATTTGGATCTTATATAGTAGAAACAAAAGACCATCTCCCTATGACTTTCTTCTCTATTAGTGATCCCTTGTCTTCAAAGAGAGATTCCCGAACACTTGATATATATATATATAGATACTAAAGATTACCCGATTCTACATCTGGATGTTCAATATGCCATTCCACCAATGTTTTCACCACTTCTGATTGTTATCTTAATCTAAGTGCACCTCAAATGATAGGTTTCACCAGTAGTAGTTATAATCGAAAAAGTGTATGTAATTGATATACCGTCGACATTACACATCTTACCTTAAGTGGCAAGCAGGCCTTAGAAGAAACCTAAAACAAGAGGTTGCAAAAGTTTTAAGCAGCTTCGGCGAATCCAATCTGTTGGTTGCCAATGTCAAACACTGTGTGGTATGCACCCATGAAGGTATCTCCAAGAATCCTGCATCAGAAATTAATTTTGAATACATTTGGCCGTGCTTATGTAGATATATATAGACATTCATGCTTAAGAGGAACTGCATTAGCACACAATATGAAAAAATCTAAAAAAAAAAAAGAGATGCTCGACATACCAGAGAGGGCCCCCAGAAGGATGGACATCCAATGCTGTGAAGCCGCTGAGGCAGATGCTGTTAGCTCCTTGTTGAAATTTTAGAACATACTGGGGCAAGCATCAGATGAGAGACGGTAAGAATTAGGTCCAGAAACAATCAGTGAGGAAGAATAGTTTCCTCTAAATAAGCTGTTCCAATTTCTTAGTCCTGTTGTCCATTTCGCTTTTCCTTTTCAATTCCCTCGGAGGAGCCAACTGCCCAAAATGGGCATTTCGATGAGGTGAGAAAGGCAGGTCCCCGAGCCGATCCTCACCTGATCCGGTCTGAGCGTGAAGATCCTGCCTCCAATCGTGAATGAAACATCTGGCATGCTCGCCATCTGGCTGCACCTGACAGCCATCTCGCCCATTGGGTTCGGTATGCTGCTGCAGAGCTGAAACAGGTATCAAATCACACTCCCCTCGTTAAATGAATTCATTCTTGGCTGCAGCAGATTCATGTTGAATTCTTTTAAACGTGTGAAGCAGGCCAGAAATTAAGCACCTCGTCGACGTAAGTGAATATCTTGTCCCTTGTTTGGTTCAGTTGGAGTTGCTGCTGCATCCACACGACCGCCATCCTGCAGGCCGCGCACGTGGCACCGCTCCTCTGCTTCTCCATGCAGAGAGTCTCATACAGGTTCTCACTGTTTTCCTTGTTCACCACCTGTTCAATTCCGCTGCTGTGTAGATTTAGCAGATTTTGATTTCCATTAGCTGCTCGTCATCGCAAGCCAATCATGGGAGGGAGATGCGCTCTTCATATGAAGCTGTCGTCGGGTTTGGTCTTATGACTCACCTAGCGCTGGGAACATCTTCAGCGCTGCAGAGGCCGACCCGGCTGCACACTGGATGCGCCTGGCTCTGTGAGGAAAGAATAATTGGATTCGATTCAATCAGCAGAGGGATGGACGAGGGGGGGGGGGAGGACCTCCATTGTTAGCTGATCGAAGATCCTCATGCCGTACTGCAGGATAACTTCCTTACACTCGGAGTTCACAATCCCTTCTGCGCCTATGGCGTGGTTGATTTGGGTGATGACAGTCTGTGGCCAAGGTGAAAATCATGAGAACTCTCTATGCATGCAAGTCCCCTCCTCATCTTGCTCATTTTCGGCCCTCATTTCATGGAGAAAGAAGGAAATGATTAGATGGGAGTTTTATCATGCTGAGGTTGTGGCGTAATGGATGAGTTATTTTCAACGTGTGGGAATTTTTTCTTCGGCAGTTCATAATCGGAGCGAGGAGGTGGTTAGTTTGAAGCTCGTTGATGGACAGCCACGAGAGAAGGAGGTAGGAAAGCTTCTTACAGTTGGCCCGGTGAGGAGGGAAGTGCCGGTGTCGACGATGGCGGTGCACCCACCGGAGCAGAGGCCTGAATACCATCGCATCCATCAATTACCAGGCGAATCTTTCTTACACAGTTTTGTCGATCGTATCGCGTCAGAAGAGAAGGAATGCGTTGTTGCTTCACCTGTGGTGTGGTTTCCGATGAGGATGTCGCCCATCTCGAACTAAGGAAGGAAATGAGAGGAGGGAGTTAGGTCTTGATCGTTTGATGCGACTGTCCGGTCGTCCTCCCCCGGAATCTCAATCGTCTCTTACCCGCCAGTAGCCCCTCTGGGTGACGGGGACGAAGGTGTGGTTCCCCTTAAAGTGCCGGCGGTCGACGCCTCCGAAGACGAGCTCCCCTCCGTCTGGGTCGTCGGCGTCGCGGTTAAGCCAGAAGGAGAAGACCTTCTCCTTCAGCAGGTCCTGCTCGATCATTGCTTGCCTGAGAGAAGCCACGGGAGAAGCCCCGTTAGTTCTCTCAGTCTCTCTCTCTCTCTCTTTCTCTTCTGGGATAGCAGGAGGAGCAGGAAGAGGAGGGATCAGCCGGATGTTGATGTCCTCACCAGATGGGTGGGACCCTCCCGATGGAGATCTCCTGGAAGCCCAACCCGAGGATGCCGTCGAACTTGGCCAGAAGAAATATGAGATTTGACTCACGCTTTGCCTCCATGAAAACCTGAGAAACGCTGACCTCGTCAGGCGTCGGTGCGGGCCCAGCTTCTTGAAGCTGCCTGTTTCATTCACTCTCTCACCTGGTTTTTGACGACGAGCTTCCCCACTTGGACGTCGTCCTGGCTGAGGAACCCGGCGACGAACCCGGTGCCGTAGGAAACTTTGCATGATCTTCCTGGAGAAGAAGAAGAAGAAGAAGAATGATGGTCAACATGAAGCTCCGGAGTTTGTGATCGTTTAGAGAGATTCGAGTCAGTAATACCGACCGTTCTTCTTGTAACTGCAGGATTGCCCCGACCGGTACCTGGAGTGGAAGAAGCAGGGCGCCTGCGGGGAAGAAGAGGAAGAAGAACTTCAAGGTAAGAACTCTACCGTCCAGCCTGCCTGCTGTGATCATCAATGAATGTGCGGAAAACTGAGCGGACTGACAGAGAAATAACACTTGGCGGAGGGGACCCAGAGGTTGGAGCTGCCGGTGTCGAAGACGATGGTGAAGTTCTGCGGCGGCGTGCCGATGCCGATCTCCCCGAAGTACCGGGCATCCATGAAATTCTTGAGGGAGATGATATCCAGGTCGTCAGGGTTGTGCTGGACGCCGTCGTCATGGAGGCAGAAGTTGTCCCTCGCCACCCCTCTCGCCGCCCGCACAGCGTTGAGGTCGAGCTTCTTCTTCCGCAGGTCGACCCGCGCTATGCCGCCGCAGGCCCCCCCCTTCAAGAGCCACGGCAGCGACAGGGCCCACAATGTGAAGAGTAGTCGGGCGGCGGCGGCGGCGGTGGCCTTCCCCCCCATCTGCGGGCCACCGGCGGCGCTGTGTTGACGGAGACCTTGAAGATACCAAACCAATCAGGGCGAGGAGCGACAAACGAGGAGCCGGGGAGGATGAACGCGGGTCGGTCAAGTTAATAACGTGAACATGACTTGCCCACGTGGGTATTATCAGGCCGTTGGATCATGGTCCCGAAGCACGTACCAGGGCCGTTATCCGTTGATCGGACGCGATAGAGCCAGTACGGCATTTATCCCAGTTTCGTCGGAGCAGCCCTCCAAGTCACCAGGAGCACCGTTAGCATGCCTCCCACAAGGCCACGAACATGTTTTGCACCGTCGACACGTGAGACTCCCTCGTGCGGGCGTGCGAAAGGCAGTACGATGCGATTTTCACAGCCTCGTTGCGTGAAACATGGGGACCTATCCGTACAGCGGCCCCTGCGACGGGGGTAGATATCAAATAGGGGACTTCGTTGGGGACAAGAGGGTGAGATGGAAGGAATCCAACTAGAAGCCACTGTCGAGCGTGCGGCCGGGCCCGGGTCGGTAATTATGGGCATATCGACAAGGAAAAAATAATATTGCAGTATAAACGTAATATTAAAAACTTAATGGAGTAGACTGTATTCTTCCCCACGCCCACCCCGATGCATAGAGTGGTAGATGACTCCATGTGTCAGCTGACTTTGTCTGTTAAATTCAAATTCAAAAAGCCCGCAGATCCCGACCGTTGCCTTTTGCCCTCCGGTTGTGCAACCTGGAGAGGGGGAGAGAGAGAGAGGGCTTCTTGTCCGCTCGGTAGGTAGCTCACCATGACACCAATGGACATTTGAAGGCAGATAAACCCGCTCCAAACAGGGCCGGGGAACATCTGAGAAAGGCACCATGAGGCGCCATGGCTGGCAGCTCCCTCTTCATCCTCTACAGGTATTCCCTCCATCCCTCTTCTGTACGCCTCTGATTCCCCTCTTTAGGATCGATTTCTCCGTTCTTCTCTTTATCGAGCATGCCATTGGTTCTTCTTGTAGATGGTGGGGATCTCGGTCTTCGCCTTCCTTGTGGCGACATTCTACGCGTTCCTCGAGCCTTTCATCGGAAACAGGGTGGCAGAAAATACCTTAATCGCGCTCTTCTCTTTCACGGTAGGGCGGCCGTGTCCCTTCTCCCCTCCCTCGGGGCCCCTTGTGAGCACAGAATTACGTAGGGTCATTCCCCCTCTCCTCGCAGGCGTTCTCGGTGGCGGTGTTGTTCGTGAGGTGTACTGGAATCGATCCGTCGGACAGGACTGGGATTAGGAGGAAGAGAAGGAAGAAGTCCAAGCGATCGCCGAAGTTGAACTTCGGGCTGATGGTGAGACAGATTCTGGCGAGGTTGTCGAGGAGGATGGAGAAAAAGGCGCTCAGGGTCTTCATAAGGCGGAACTACTTGGAGCCGGTGAACGGTCGCATACAGATGGAGCCGCTTCTGCCTTTCCCTCTCATCGTGAAGAATGATGCGGTGACTCCGGATCCTAGGGACGATGACATCTCATTCTGCTCACTCTGTGACTCCGAGGTCCTGTTCGGTTCGCCGCCCTCGATTTGATATCCTGTTTACTCTGAGAATCATCTCCTTCTTTAGCGACAATCGTGGTTCCTTGGACCGAAATTGTTGGCTCGAGCATCCTCATCCGCGTCAAAAAATGAACCTCTTTTGATCTGGATCGATGTCTTACCTCTCAATCTTCCTCCAGGTTAAGCTGCAGAGCAAACACTGCAGGAGTTGCAACCGCTGCGTCGATGGATTTGATCACCATTGCAGGGTGAGGAACGGGGAAAATTTCTGCCTCGGTCATCTGATACGATCTGAATTATTCATTCAAGCGTCAAACGTCTAACCTTTCATCGCCCATTGCTGGTGGATTCATCATTTTTCAGTGGCTGAACAACTGCGTTGGGAGGAAGAACTACACCTCCTTCGTCCTCCTCATGGTTCTGGTCCTCCTCATGGTCCGTCTTCTCTCTCTCTCTGTTTCCCTCTCTTTATATACCAAAACTCGAGAGTTTGCTGATGCGCTGTGGAAACGAATACCGCAGCTCCTGGTGGAAGGAGGGACAGCCGCCGCGGTCTTTGTGCGCTGCTTCGCAGACAGGAAGGGGATGGCTGAAGAGCTACGGCATAAACTCCATGTCCGGCTCCCCAGGGGCGTCCTGGCCGCCATCGCAGTACTTCTCGATGCTCTGAGGACCCTCGTGACCTAATCCGCTTAGGAATTCTCAACCGGAAACTTACCAAATTCCGATGAATCGCAGGCATTCCTGGTTCTCGCGACGGCGTATGCGACGGCGGCGCTGGGGCAGTTGTTCTTCTTCCACGTTGTTCTCATCAGAAAGGTGCTGTTTTTGGCTTGTATTCGATAAGAGTTCATGATGGAGACAGAAAGTCAAACTCAAAGTTCTTTATCTGGAAGTCAATGATTCTGAAACGTCACTAGTGTTGTCTGATTATCGCTTGATGCTCAGATTTTACCCTAACGGATGCAGGGAATGAGAACGTACGACTACATACTGGCAATGAGGCAGCAAACTCAACTTGCGGACCCATTTGACGACCTCGATTCCTCTGACGACGACGACGATGACGATAGCGTTGACTTCGACACGGCGGACAGGCCTTCCCTGGCGTCTCGATGTCTGTGCGATGAGCGCAAGCCCAAACAGGTCAGTCAGGCTCTCTTCTCGTACCCGTTTCCTCCACTGAATCCTGTCAACCATAACCCAGAGAAACGGTGCTGCCCGTTCCAGCAGGAGTCAACGATGACGGCCATCAGAGTAGATGGAAGACCCAACCCAGAGAAGACCTCCGATTTCAGCATTGACCCATGGAAACTCATAAAGATGAGTAGGGACAAGGCACTGGCCGCCGCCGACAAAGCAAGAGAGAGAATGAAGAGAGAGAAGCCACTGGAGACCGCCCCGTCCCCGCCAAAGCCGCTGCCGTCGGAGATGAAGAAGGGCCCCTCGCTGAGCCTAGAGAGAAGCAGAGCCATGGCCCTCACGGAGGTCCCCGCCGTCATCCCCAAGCCTTGCTGGATGCCTGGTTCTCCCGGCGGCAGGTTCTTGAGCCCGAGGAGGAGGTTCTCCGGATCCCCCTCCCAGAAGCAGCAAAGGTACCGCAGCAACTTCGACCTGAAGCTCTCGGAGATATCCAGCGAACTCGAGACATACATCTCCCGGCAGGTCGTCTGCTCCGTCCTCAGGCGGAGCGAGGAAGACGGCGCTGCCACCTCCCCCGCCGGCGGCCATTGACGATGGCAATTCTTCTGCCCTTTTTCTCCCCCACGGGGAAAGGCGGTCCTTGACCGATCTTCCTCCTGGAATTTTCTAAATGTACACATGGCCTCTTTTGTCCGCCACTTACATTTATTTATCCATATCAACAGGAAAATTCCTTCCGACGGGTTAGGTCAAAGTAAACGGAAATACAGAAGTCAACCTCAAACACCTAGGAGGGAGCGTTGACTAGGAAGGGGACTGTAGAATGGAGCACCACCAGGGAACCTTAGGTGCAGTCCTTGATGTTGATGAGGGAGGGTCTCGTGACGGCCGTTCTCAACGACGGTGCCGTTCTTGACGTCGGTGCCCTTGATGGTGGACAGACGGTGGGTTGACGATGACGGTCGTCTGGTTGACCATCACACGGTCCAGCGTGTCTTGAGCGACTCGCTCCGACTCGGTACTGGGGACCCTGGTGGCCTGGTGGCCTGGTGGGCTCATCCAACTGCAAGATCCTCAGGTTCTTCACGATGGCCCGGGCGATGACCACCCTTTGCTTCTGCACCCACCCACCCAAAAAAAAGCAATCGTCCATAAATTCATCACATTTGTCAAACTAGTACTAATAGTATTTGATATTAATTCATACTAAAAGCTACTTCAATTTTACCTTATTTATTATATAGAAATAAAAGATTATCAATATGTATCCTTATTTACTTCTAATAGTCCATCTAAAGTAATATCTCACAATTGACAATAGAATTTCTAGATGGATGCCTCCATCTTGTTCTTAGAATATATATATTTTATTCCATTAAATAATAGCAATCTATGAACTTAACTCCATTCAATGTCATGCCTTGAGGTTCTAGCCAAGTGAATCTACTCCTGAAAGAAATTTATTTTTCATGTGGACAGATAAGCCTTGACACTACTTGAAGTTTAGGCTGCACTTAGATCAAGAAAGGTGTTAAATTGATTATTTTCTATTTTTTAACCAAATCAACTACTTTAAATATTCTGATCTGCTCCTTCAAAGTCTTATGATACTCATAGCTCTTAGAGGTATGAAATTGAATAATTTTTAAAGTAGTTAGTCTACTACCTATATTCAATCTCCAAGAACAATCTTATTTTTGGGTTCCACTAGATCAATTATTTCCAATATAATTTCTGGACTTAGGTCCCAATGAGTTTTATGTCAAAATTCTCTACGAAATTGATAACTCTAGGTGGTCAATAGATGATTAAAGGGTTCAACTTCAACTATCTTCAATGATTAAAAAGACTTCAACCATTACTTTTTCTCACAAAAAATATGAATGATTTAATTGTAGATAATTTCTAAATGTCAATATTAACTTTAAGTGTGCCTAGAATTTTGATTAAGAAAAAGATGTTGAAGATTTGATTCTTGTTGTCCTATTTTTTTATGGATGCTGATAGAAGATTGCTGATTACTTGAAATAGTTCCTTGACAACTAGAAAAACAATAGGACCTTAATTCTTTTGTATCACTTGACAAATATGAAAGATCTCACAACTTCTCAAAGATTTTTCTATAAAAAAATATTTTAGGCTCTCAAGTTCACATATAGATTAGAGAGTAATTAGATAAATCAAATTTGAGAACCTCCCCCATTTTCTACTATCTCTTAATATTTAAATTTTAAAAATAATTCAACATTTAATAATTAGAAACTATTAATACATATTTTTTTATCTTAATAAAAAATATAATAATAGTAAAATTCTATTAACTCATGTCAAATGTAACAAAGTTGAACACAAAATGTTAAAAGAAATTTTAGAACGAATTTCATTAATTCCTGATTAAATCTGCATATTATTCTTGGAAATTTTCTACTTGATTTTTTAATCTATATCCTCATATGATTGTCTAAAGGTTCAAAATCTTGAGAAGCATTTTGTAATTGATAGAAAAGTGCTCATTAAATTAGAATTAGGGAAATTGAGTTTTTTTTGGACCTTTTGGTTAATTTATGAAGGGTCTGAAGGTGGAATTATAATGGGTTGACAATGATAGGCCTAATATCAAGGCCCATTATCAAGGTAACTTACAATTGTAAAGGAAGTGGGATAAGTGACAAGAGAGACAACATAAGGGTTGACCCGAGGGTACTATGCGAAGCCCAATGGCCACTGAGGGGAGCTACTATTTTTTGTAGTTGAACTCTGTTCAATAGTGGTATCGGACTCTCGACCACCCACTAATGCCTATTATCTATTTCTCTCTTCTCATCTCTCTTTCTTCTTCTCTTCTATATGTGTCAACATGGTATTACAGCCCTAGGTATACCTCGTCTTCGTCTTCTTCTCTTGTGCACTTTACTCCTCGCCAGCCTCTTCCCTCAGGCGTCTCTTCAGCGTCACCGCTCTTCCCTCTTCCGGCGTCGTCTTTTTGTTGTCACTCTCCTTCTCCTTTTGGCACTGCCCTCCTTGCCTCCGCTTCTGCCCCTCTCTAGGCTGCCGGCCACTCCTCTAGGCCGCCATGCCGCCACCCCCTCCTTCTCTAGCATGCCGTCCTCCTCTGGTGGTTCCCTCCTTTGGCGGCGCCCTTCTCCTCTCGGCGGCACCAGCCTCCCAACTCCTTGAAAGTCACCTCCCAACACCCCAAGCATCGCCTCCCGATTCCCTGAGCGTCACTTCCTAACGCCTCATGTGTCGCCTCTCGACACCCCAAGTGTCACCTCCCGGCGTCCTCCCGGGCCAGGCTCTCCTCCTCGTCCACCTCCTCGTCCACCTCCTCTAGCTCATCACCCTCACCTTCTCCGTCGTCCTTGGCCTCTTCTGATCTCACCGCCGCCTACCTCTCTGGTGCGCTGCCTCCTGACACCCCATGCATCACTTCTCGACGCCTTGTGCGTCACCTCCCGCCGCCAACTCTTGGCACCCCGACGCCCCATGCGCCAGCTCCTGATGCCTCATGCGTCGCCTCCCGCCATGGTATTCATCTACTCTTGGCACCCTGTGTGCCACCAACTGTCACATCAATCTTGCGGGGATTTATTTGACGACATATGTATTAAGTTGGACATTTTCGACTTATATGCTCTAACTTGAGGGAGAGTATTTAATAGTGGTATCGGAGTTTTCATTTACTAGGGCTCATTATCTATCTCTCTTTTTATCTCTTTTTCTTCTTCTCTTCTATATAATCTCATATACTTCTTTGTTTTCTTAGAGAAGATTATGAATTCTAAGGTTTTCTTTTTTTGTCAACAAGTTCTCTTCGACTAACTACTGTAGATGAATAATGTGGCATTACATAGATCTTCTATTTCTGGTGGTCAAGCTTTCTCTTGGTGTTATATAGATATGAATGAAATAGCAGAAGACAAAAGAGGGAACTTGTAAATTTGATTTCTATATCAATTGCATTTTATTTCTGTTTTAACTAGTTATGTTATGCGATTGACAACTACATGGTGGGGATTGCACTTGCTTCTTGCTTGTTTACAATTATTTTATTAATTTTGTGCTCAATTTTCTTTTAGGAACCTTATTTTTATCTCAAGGTGAAAGACAAAAAAAGTTTTCATTATGATTTCATGTCTACTAATTCTTCTTGCATTTTGAATGTTGAATGCTAAATCAATTACAACCATCTGAATCCACTTATTTCGTAAATGTGCTAAAATTCTATAAGATTTTGACAAAATGTATTTCTCCCATTTCATCATCTGCAAAGTGAAACCCACTATCAAGAGTCTCTCATCCCTTATTTTTGTCTAGTCACATATTCTTCTTTTCTCTTAGTTCTCCTCTCCTTGTGCTCCTATGTTGTTGGCTCTTCTCAAAATTTTGTAGGTCTTACTAGCTTCAGCCAACCTTTAAGTAAACGCTAGTTGTGGCTAGAATGCCTAGAGTGCCCAGAGCTATTTGCAATGGTGTGAAGTGATGAGGGAGGCCAAGAAGTGGAGAAGATGACTTTTTTCTTTGCTTCTTGTCCTTTCTATTTCAATAAGCACCTATAATAGAAATTGATGTCATGATTGATACTCGTTCTTGGGGGTCAACCAAGATTAAGTAAGTTTTGAGCTTGATTTCAATTTTGCAACTAGTATAAATATTAAAATTTGACATGTTTTCCTTTCAATAATCAGAGCATATAAAAAAATCAAGACAATTGTCTTCTAAGAGTTGCATATATTCTTGAAAAACTAATAAGTGATAGCATTTAAAATAGAACACATACATCTAAAAATTATCAATCTGATCTACTTTAGTAAAAGACCTGCATTATTAAAATAGAACCGATAATACTTCTAGAAGAAAGTAATTAGTTAATAATCAAACCTTATTTGAGTCACCTCAAACAAAATATGGTCATCAAGTAGATGCACTTAATTGTGATCTCAATATGTATGAATAATATCTTTGAAAATCTAACATTTGTAAAAAAAATCAAAAAATATTTGTTAGTATCTAGAATATCATGTAGTAGTTTCTATAAATAGTATAATTCCTACAATAGTATGGAAAAAAAAATCCTACATGATAAATTCATCTAGTTTCAAAAGTCAACAAAGTGAGATTGTCATGCATTCATTGAATTCCTTTTCATGTATTTATAATTATTATTTCGAATTCCTTAAGAATGTTAATTCAACTTTAACTATTGCTTATAGATTAGTAAAAGTAAAAGTAAAAGTGATTTATCTATCCATGTAATAGCTTTATCATGCTAGGTTATCAAGAGCAGCACACTCTTGTAGAGCTAAAATTATGAATTTGATATTAATAAAAAAAATAGAAATAGATAATAAAGATTTTATACATTTTTTACAATGTTTGACTTTAGCTTTTCTTATTTCGAAGTAGATTGATACATTTTTTTACTGCTAGACAATGGTTGATCACTCTAGCTTGAAATTTTAGCACTCATCTTTGTTTCTATTACTCTTAATTTTATCTAAAATATTTATTGGAGGGATATATACTTTGCAAAAAAAAAAATTATGAACATCTATTGCAAGGAAAATAGTCAAATTATGGGTATCTTTAATGGTTAGCAGATAGGCTCATGAAATTTGATCTTTATTTACATAATTGATGGTGTTTACTTTTAAAAAAGCTTTATATACATCATAGCATAAATCAAATGCTCATCAATTTAATTTGAGAGTTAAATAAGTTGTTATCAGGCATGAGATGAATTTCCAATAAATTTGATATTGTGTTCACTGAAGTGATCTCATCAACAAAGTTCTTTTTTTATTTATTGTGGCAAAAGTATTCAAGTGTTAGACTTGATGATGATTTTATTAAGTTTGCTCAGATTGAGTAAGACTTGAATTATGTGAAGATCATTCACCTTGTATGTACAATTTGAATAAACTTCTTGAACCCCTTAAGTCCATGAACGTTGATGTTGAGTCTATAATGATGAAAATAATTTTCCTAAATCCAAAGAGGGTATTGGAGTCCACCAATAGAGACATAGAACCCTATATGAGGTTAATTTTTTAGGATTGATAAAACTAAAACTAAAATGTCTCAAGGGTTAAAAAGGTGCCTTTAAAATAGGCCAAGATTTAATAATAGAATAGAGAGGGCTATGTTAAAGCAGCCCTAAGGAATAATAACATGCTTAATAGAATAGGGGGATTATTTGAAACAAACAAAACATGGTAAATAATAAACACGAGAAATGAGATTTTGGCACATTCAATGTGTCCAAATCTTGAACTAAATTTGGGCCAAATTGTGTCCTCTTGTATCCTAGCCCTTTGGTCTCCTTAAATTGGGCTGAAATGACTTGTACTTGTGCTAAGCATGAAAAATAATCTCTTTTAAGCACCTTGGGCATTTGCTGTTTTAGTTTTAACCACTTGGGTCAAATACTTTTTGTCCTTCTTTTGATCGGTTTTCTTGGGTATACTAGTCTCTATTTCTGCTTGAAGAAAACTCATCCTCGAGTGTATAATTAAAAATCCATGCATAATATCTATTGGGTTTTGGCTTGCATTTAGGGGAGTTGAATTGATTCCCTTCTATTTTATTAACTATGTGTTTATGTGAAGAAGCTAAATGTGTTTCCTTACTTGTCCTTAGTTCTCTAAAATTGAAACTAACAAAGTATAAGAATACTATTTTTATAGCAGTTTGGCCTCCTACCTATTCCCACTCTCCATGAACAATTCATATTCGTAGGTTCCAATGATGATCATTCAAGCATACACTATTGATTACCGACTAAGCTCTAATGGAATTTCACCCTGAAGTTCTCTTCTAGATTTATGGCTCTATAGGGCCAAAAACTATTAACAAGGGCATCTCTCATGATTAACTTGCACCTATGGTGTGCTTGAGATCAAGACTCTCACTTGTGTATGTGTGGTGGCTTGACAAATGCATGAGGTACACTTGGTTAGTTGACATGTACTTGTGTTTCACTTCATTGGTCTATTTAGCTCATGTGGTGAGCTAAAGTCATTCTCAACACATACGATGTACTAAACAAAAAGTGATGCTTATGGTGCACTCACATCTAAATAAAGGTTGTTAGAAGTGTGGCTTCTAATATAGACTCAGATTTGAGGAGTCTATGGTCTAAGGGGAGGTGAGCGCATAAGTAAGTTGTAATCACAAGGTGTGATTAGTGAAAACCCAAGGTCAATTGACTTGGGAAGTCGATGCAGGCCAAAGGAGTTTACCAAAATCACTCTAAAATCTAGTATGAACATTTTTTTCTTTTTTATATATTTATATATTTTTATAAAAATATATTATATTTAATCATAAAAAATAAAAATCAATTCATTACCTCTCCCCCTCTTGATTTATCCAACCATCTTGGGATCAAGAAGTATTAGAGTGATTCATAATTATGTGAGGAACTGCATGACTTAATTACCGATGTAGAAGTTCTTAATTAGAAAATCAAAGCTCTCATGAATTGCATGCATTCCTGGCTCTTGTGACAGTGGTGTTGAGACAATTGTACTTTTTCAATGTTGTTCTTATCAGAAAGGTGCTAGTTTTGATTCGTATCCAATTAGAGTTTATAATTGAGTTAAAAAGTCAATGTCAAATAGGTGTCGTCATTCATTCTTTATATGGAATTCTAGCTAATGGCTCTGAAATGTCAATTGTTTACCTCATTGACTTTTGATGCTTGGATTTTAGCTGGCACTGTTTTTTGCAGATGCAGGGAATGAAGATGATTGCATTGACTTTGATAGGACAGACGAACAGGTCAGCCAAGCTCTCTTATCATACCTGTGTCCTCCACTGAATCTGTCAACCATAATCTGTCAACCATTCCAGCAAGAGCCAATGATGAAAGCCTTAAGAGTGGATAAAAGACTGATAAGATCACACCCCTTCCCCTGTTCTACATTGGATGGTGGTGGGGATCAAATTAAGAATAGACCTAAGAGGATTGAGGAGGTAGAAGTGATACAGGACACCAAGGAAATAAGGACCTGATTTTTGCCGAATTCATAGTATGTCTACTTCTCCACTAGGGACCAATGAATTTCAAGAGTAAAGACTAGTTTTAGTTTGAAATTTGACCTCCACGATTAGAAGTGAAGAACAAACATGGTTAAGAAACTGCCTAAGTTAAGGTGTTCCACAGACAAGGAATTTATTAATACATGTCCATGGTCCCCTCTCAATTATTCAAGTTGCGGCATTGTGAATGGTTTCCTTCAATAGTTTTCTAATGGTGGCGTCGAGAGGAAGAAGGATCAAGATCACTTGACGAGTTGAATGATGACTATCACTAGAGCGTCCAGGATGATGCACAGCTGCGTGGTGGATCTATGTATGGAGCGGTGCGTGGGATCAGGTGGTGGTGATTTAGTAGAAATGATTGAATGGGTAGTGATCATCATGATCCCTCATGGATCGCAGGTAGTCCTCATGACCTCTCCTTCACGGAGAGATTAACAGGATAAAATCACACTTCAATGAGTTCAATACGTGATTACTTAACTCTTTATAGAGCCCGAGGAGGAGGTTGCCCGGTTCCTCCTCCCCGAAGCAGCAGAGCAACTTCGACCTGAAGCTCTTGGAGACGTACAGCGAGCTCGAGACGTACGTCTCTCGGCAGGTCTTCTCCGTCCCAGCCCCCTCAACAGTTGATTTACATGAGCCCCGATCTTCTTCTTTGACTCTACTCATATACATGAGCACGTGCGCACCACTTGCATTTATTTGTCCATATCCACAGGAAAATTCCTCCCGACTTGGGAGACCAAGCATAAAACTCAACGTCAGAGACGTATCCATCTCCGCTACACAAGACGAAGACTGGAGGGACTGAAGAGGGGGCTTTGACTAGGATACAACTTTAGAGTGGAGCGCCACCAGGGAAGCGTAGGCGCCGTCCTTGATGTTGATGAGGGTACCGTGGCGGCCCTTCTCGACGATGGCCCCGTTCTTGACGACGGCGATGAGGTCGGCGCCCTTGATGGTGGACAGCCGGTGGGCGACGATGACGGTCGTCCGATTGACCATCACCCTGTCCAGCGCATCCTGGACTACTCTCTCGGACTCGGCGTCGAGGGCGCTCGTGGCCTCGTCCAGCAGCAAGATCCTCGGGTCCTTCACCATGGCCCGGGCAATGGCTACCCTCTGCTTCTGCCCTCCCGACAGCTGGATTCCCCTCTCGCCGACCACCGTCTCGTACCCCTGCACGCGCTCAGAGGATCGTCAAAGAAGGAAAGGAAAGGAATAAGGCGGCGCCGCCACCGGACGCGGTGGAGGATGAAGCGGAGGGGAAGAGGACCCACCTGTTGGAGGCCGCTGATGAACTTATGGGCGTTGGCTGCCTCGGCGGCGGCGACGATCTCCGCCTCGGAGGCGTCTCCGTCCTTGCCGTAGGCAATGTTGGCGCGGATAGAGCCGTTGAAGAGGACGGGCTCCTGGCCAACCAGGCGCATCTGCCGCCGCAGCCACCGCAGCTGGAAGCTCCGAATGTCCTCTCCGTCCAGCAGGATCTGGCCGGAGTCGGGGTCGTAGAACCTCTGCAGAAGCGCGATCGCCGTCGACTTCCCGCAGCCACTCTCCCCCACCAGCGCCACCGTCTGCGGAGGTCGAACAGAACAGAGCCACCATCACGAACTTCGCGGTCGGAACGCCGAAAGAGCTCTCACACCTCTTCCTGAGGTTAATAAAAATTAATGGCGGCGGGCGTACCTTGCCGGCGAGGATGGTCAGGCAGAGGTCCTGGAAAATCTGAACCTCGGGCCTCGTTGGGTACCGGAAGCTGACGTGCCGGAACTCGATGTTCCCCTTTACCTCTGACGTCTTCCCGGTGGGATCGCTGGGGTCGATCTTGGACTTTCGGTCGAGGATGGCGAAAACGGAGGCGCTGGCCGACTTCGCCTTGCTCGAGTCGGGGGCCAGGCCGCTCGTCTGCGAGATCCCGATTCCCGCCATGGCCAGGGCGAAGAACACCTGCCGCATCGAGGGAAAAAAAGAGCCTGTCGGATCAGGAGCCAAGGTCCGAGCTAGGGGCGCCGCCGGGGATCGGTTGTCACCTTGAAGACGTCCGGGAAGGTGGTCTTGCCGTCCTCGACGAACTTGGCGCCGGCGTAGAAGATGGTTGCGTAGGCGCAGAAGAGGAGGAAGAAGGAGAGCCCGAAGCCGATCCCGCTGATCAGGCCCTGCCGAATCTCCGCCTTCAGTGGGGCCTCACACTTCTTCTTGTAGAGCTCCATCACCTTCTCTTCCGCAGAGAACGAAGCCACCGTCCGTATGCTTCCCACGGCATCGTTCGCCACCTTGCTTGCCTCCTCGTACATCATCTGGCACAAGAAAAAAAAAGATGATCATCATCATCTCGGAAGAAGAAGAAGATGATGAGGAGGAGGAGGAAGAGGAGTACCTTTGCGTCGGCGCTGAAACCCTGGATGAACTTCATCTGAACCCAGCCGTTGAGACCAATCAGCGGTAGCAAACCCAGGATGATGAGGGAGAGCTGCCAGTTGGCCACGAACGCGATGATCAGGCCGGCCAACAAGGTCGCCAGGTTCTCGACCACCAGAGCGAGCGCGTCGCCGACGAGGCTCCGGACCGTTGCAGCGTCCGCCGAGAGCCTCGCGCCGATCTCGCCGCTCGAGTTCGCCGGTTCGTCGAACCAAGCAACTTCCATAGTGAGCACCTTCTCGAAGGTCCTTATCCTGATCCTCTTGATCAGCCGGCCCCCCGCCAGCGCGAAGAAGTAAGTCCTCGCCGGGTAGACGACGAGGGAGACCAGCCCGAGGACGGTGAACATCAGAGCCCAGAACCTTGTGTCCTTCTTCAGCTCGGCGGCCGGCTTGTAGAACGTCTCGATGATGCTACCCAGCAGCAGCCCGAATATCGGCATTATGACACCGGCCACCGATGCGGAGACCACCCCAAGCAGCAGAACCGGGATCTCCGGCTTGTTCATGGCAGCAAGGCGGTAGACGGACGGCGGCTCGGGGGCGGGCGACGACAGCTCGCCGTCGAGCTCTGCCGGCGGCTTCCCCTCCCCGGGCGCTTCGTCGTCGTAAATTCCGACCCCGACCGCCACGACGAAGGGCACCGAAAAGGAGTGAGCGCTGGTGTTTCCGGTCGAGGATCCCCGGCTAATGGACCGTCGGATCTGGCTCGACTGCCGGCGGATCTCCGTCGACGACGCGCTCCTCTGATAGGCGTACGGCTCCTGCTTCGCCGTCTCCTGCAGGCGGATGAGCTGGGAGTATGCCCCCTCCAAGTCCTTGAGCAGCTCCTCGTGTGACCCTGCGCAGAGGCGCCGACCACCGTCACACTCCGGCGCCATCGACGGCGAAACCAACCGGGTTTCAGAGGAGCAGGCGGATGAGACGACGGCGTACCTTGTTCGACGATGCGTCCCCGCTGGACCACGGCGATGTTGTCGGCGTTCCTGACGGTGCTGAGGCGGTGGGCGACGATGACGGTGGTGCGGTCCCTCATGACCCGGTCCAGCGCCTCCTGCACGATGTGCTCCGACTCTGCGTCGAGCGCGCTCGTCGCCTCGTCTAGGAGGAGGATGCGCGGGTTCTTGAGGATCGCCCTGGCGATGGCCACCCGCTGCTTCTGCCCGCCGGAGAGCTGCGTCCCGTGCTCCCCCACCATCGTCTCCAGCCCCTGCGGAAGAAGAAGATGAGGATGATGATGATGATGATAATGATGATGACGAAGAAGAAGAAGACGTCAGCTCTGACCTGGGGCATCTTGTCGATGAACTTGGCCGCGTTGGCGAGCTCGGCGGCGGCCCGGATCTCCTCGATGGTGGCGCTGTCTTTGCCGTAGGCGATGTTGTCCCGGATGCTGGCGGTGAAGAGTGCGGGCTCCTGGCCCACCAGCCCAATCTTCCCCCGGATCCACCGCAGCTGCAAGTCCCGGAGGTCGACGCCGTCGATGAGCACGGCGCCGGACTGTGGGTCGTAGAACCGCTCGATCAGACTGACCACCGTCGACTTCCCACTGCCGCTCTGCCCGACCAGGGCGGTGGTCGTCCCGCTCGGGATAACGAGAGAGAAGCCGGTGAAGATCGGCTCCTCCGGGCGTGCAGGGTAGCTGAAGTGCACGTCCTTCAGCTCGACGTCCCCCCGGAGGTCCTCCAGCGTCCTCCCCCCCTCGTCGTACGTGTCGATCTCCGGCTTCCTCTCGATCGTCTCGAACATCTTGAACCCCGCAGCCTTCCCAGCCGCGAATGCGCTTATGCACGGCGACGCCTGTCCTAGCGAGCTTCATTTCCAGCAGGCAGTCGACCAGAGAAAAACCAGGTGCTATGAGCGAGAAAGGAAGGAGGACGGGGGGCGGGCATGCAGAAAGGAAGATGGGCGGCTCACATAGAGGCGGTCAAGATGGCGAAGATGACGTTGATGACGTCTCCGCCGGAGTACCCCTTGTCCAGTATCAGCTTCCCCCCGTACCAGATGCCCAAAGCGTAGCCGAAGAGCATGATGCCTAAGACGGCGCCGAGGCCGGCGCCGGCGCTGAGGCCCTCCTGGCAGCTGGCCTTGTATGAAGCCCTCAGCGACTTGCTGTACTTCTCCAGGGCTAGTTTCTCGCCGGTGAAGGAGGCTACCTGTGCGCACACAACACTCAGTGAGAAGGATGGATGAAGAAAATCTATCCTCACTGTACTCATTACGCCGCTGAGGGTGGTGGTGGTGCTACTCACCGTTCTTATGGCGCCGATTGTCTGCTCGATGATCACCGACGCCTCGGCATAGGCCGTCTGTCCGCGAGAGGCCAACCTCACGATGATCGTGGCCATGGCTGCGCCGGCTACCACGAGAGGTGGGATGGTGGAGAGCATGACGAGGGTGAGGAGCCATCCCTGGACGAACGCTATCACGAATCCCCCGACAAATGTTGACATCAGCTGGATGAACTTGCCCACCTGAAACGCAGAGGATGGACAGGGGGAACCTTCAGGGCAGAAGAAGCAGGAGAAGGAGAAGCAGCAGCAGCACCAGCTGAAGAAGAAGAAGAAGATCTTTAATGGACCAGAACTCCACCTTCTCTCCCATGGCGTCTTGGATAAAGACGGTGTCTCCGGACATCCTACCGACGACTTCCCCCGTGTTCGTCTCCTTGTCGAAGAAGCCGATCTCCTGCCTCAAGATGGCCTTCAAGTACATATTCCTGATCCTCGCCGCCTGCCTCTCGCCGGTGACCATCCAGCAGGTCACCTCTGTCACAGACAGACCCCGAAGAAAAAGAAGGAGAAGAGGAAAGAAACGGCGTCACCACCTCCGCTGCCGGACGGAGAAGATTTAAGTGTTCTACTGACCTCAGAGGAAGGGAGGGAACTTACGGAGGAAAGAGGCGACGCCAGCGCCGGTGGCCAGGTAAACAAATTGGAGAGAGACCTACGGATAAATCGACCAATGAGGAGCTGAGAAAGAGAGGAATATCAGCCGCAGGGATGGCTTCGTTACCCACCTTGGAGACCCTGCGGACGACGTCATTGATGCCCGCTGCCTCCCCAAAGGAGTCTGTCAGGTTCCCGAACAGGAGAGTCATCAGCGGCATGGAAACGCCGTTCGCCAGAGCTCCGATGGTCCCGAGAACCATGAGGGCAATGTCCGTGGAATCGGCCAAGGAGAAGAGCTTGCTGTAGGGGACGACCTTCGTGCCCTGATTCTTCTCCCTCTGATGCGATCCCGAGCCCGCGGCGGCGACGTTCTCCGAGCTGTTCCCGGAGGGACCATCGTGCTTCACTTTGAGTCCGCCGTCACAGTTCACCTTGCCGCCCAACTCCGTGTCTTCCCCTCCCCCCATCTCCGGTGAGCAAGCTGCCGAGGAAGACCCACCTGGTTGCCTACCGCCATGGAGCTCGTTGGCGGCGACTGGTTGCCGCCGCATAGGAACAAGATACCGGCCTGTGGGAGATGGCGACCGAGGAAAGAGGCCGAGGAGACAGAATCGACGTCAATCTGATGAGAGAGAATCCAGAGATTTTGGAGAGCTAAACAGCCCCCTTCCCGAGACCGGCCTGTGAAAATCATCTTCTTATTCCTCCAGATCTAGGAAAAAAACCAATCTCGGCTTGCCATGAAGATCCACGCAGATCTCGGAACACCAGGAGCAAAAACACCCTTTCCTCCAGTAATTCAAAGCCTGATGAACTATCAATACCAAGGGTGGAAAAGAAGAAGGATCTTCTACGCTCTCCATTTGCGGGGAGGGACGGGGGGGGCCACGTCGATGATCCCACCACCTTCCATCCCCAGATACGGCGAGAGAAGAGAAGGAAAGCTTCCGAAAACACGATCTAGAAAGTCGGCGGGGAGAAGAAGACAAAGACGAGGAAGAAGAAGAAAGGACGAGAAACAAGAAGAACAGAGGAGAGAGGCCTGAACAGAAGGAACCCACCTTGCAGGGGGAGAAGAAAGGGCGACTCTCTGCAACGTACAACTCTGCAACGTCCGAGGAAGTTTATAAAGTTCCCATGTTGTGTGATTAGAGCAGCGCCTTTTGCGTGGGAGACAAGCAGCCATAAATCAGCTGCCGCCACCGGCGGCGTTCCCCGAGGGCCCTACATGTTTCCTACTGAACCCACCGTCTCCATTCACGTTGCCACCCAATTCTGCGTCCTCCCCTCCTGATTAACTACCGCCCTGGAGCTCGGCGGCGGCGGCGGCGGCGGCGGCGGCGGCGGCGGCGGCGCCTGTAGAAAAAAGCCATCGGAGACAGATATCAACGTCAGTCTCATGAGTGAGACTCAGAGAAGGAAATCCCAAGAGCCCCCTTCTAGATAAATTATGTGAAAGTCATTTTTTCCCGATAGATCTGGAAAAAAAACGTTATCGGCTTCCCATTCATATTGACGCAGATCTTGGCACGCCAGGAGCAAGCGCGTTCCGTCCAGCGCCACCGATCTCAGAAGGCCCACGTGGGAAAGTCCCTGAAGCCCATAAGTTACATGGCGGTGCGCCTTTCGGAAACTCGTTCGTTCAAATCGGACGGTGGGCCCACAAAAGATTCGCTGACTTGGGTCAGCCGACTGGGGGTCCCAATGTGGCCGCAGTCTCTTACTGGCGGCTACACCGAAGGGTTTCCTCTGGTTTCTTGCTTCCCAAGCGCCGCCCCTGCTTTTTGACGGTCAGCGGCTCCCGCTGTGTTCAAGACTTCACGATTGTGTCCCTCTGATACTTTGATTCTTTAATTGATCTTATAAATGTTTGTCGTCTATTTTTTTTTAATTATTCAGAATTGTCATATAAATCATACATTCAATACTCCAACAATCATATATCATTACAATAAAGTTTGGAACCATAAGCTTTAATGTTCAATTTAGCACTTCTAAACACTATTTGATTCATAGTGGTAGAAGTTTTTCACTATTGACCATTGCTTGTGGGCATACGTATAATTTTTTAGTAGTGAATCTAAAATATCGAGGCAGCACATGATTATTATTGTTAGCCTATCAATAAGACAGGGAAGATAGATAATGTTTGAATTGTTTGGTTAGATGATTCCCTTTTGTCTTCATAGGTTGTATGGCTTCAATTATCTTAACTTGAAAATGTTCATGTTGAAAGTGACTATATAAAGATTGTGAAGTTTATTCCAAAGTCATCAAATTTTCATTTTAGCTCAATTTTCTATGATTTACAAACTAGTTAGATTTGTAACAATTAGCATGATGAGGTTTTTAAGTTTTTAGTATTAAAAAATACCAAGTTTATAATGTTGATTGAGACTTTTTCTTGGTTCCCATTACAATCATTGACTTGATATGTTTATTACAATAATAGAAATCAAATGGCATTGATGTGTTTGGTGATGCACTCAAGGTGATCAATATTGTAGAGTTAGCCGGAAGAATTAAAACTCAAGTCCATTGAACCAACAACATCACAATTGATTGTCCAATGACTAATACTAGAGCTTGTCTATCAACCAAGTTTAATCAATTGTGCACCATGAATTAGAGGTTAGGTCACAATAAAGTTCAACTGAATCTCAACATTAACGGTTCCTTCCGACATAAAAGGAAAAAATTAGCATGCCAAAAAAAGAAAACTAAATATCTTTTAAAATAAATTTTTTTAATCAATATAATTCATAAAAATGGGGGCCAACTATTGTGTCAATGTAGTAATTGGCAGCAACAAAGTACCAATGTTCTAGTGATTGTTTATGTTGACTATGGGCAGTTGAGCTTACACAAGAGTGAGGTTTGACCTGGTAATCAACCACCCTCAACTAACTATCTAGTAGTATGATTCTTGAAGAAGCAGCCACTTTGAGATGTGCAAGCTTGAAGAAGAAGACGAGTCAAAGATGTGGACCATAATTAGCTTCATTCTGTAAGAAGTGGGAGAGATATATGAATTCTTTCATCAATAATTCTAATGTTTCCTCAATAGAGAATTCTTTCCCATTTTTTTCTACAAATCTTGTCATGTTTTACCACATCATTCAAAGGTGTGAGTTGTTGATAAGTTTAATTTCTTTCTAAGTAATTTGTAGATTCCTCTTTCGTCAAATATCAAGTGTTTGTTTCTCCCATAGGATATCTTACTTAGGGGGAGAATAAATATTTAAGTTCAGAAATAATTACTCTAGTATTGAGTTGAGATTTTATATTATGACATCTCAATTAGGAAATCTTTAAGGTATATCATCAATGGATAATCATTTGAATCCTTATTATCTGCACCACTCAAATAGTCTAAGTTTGATATTGACAACACAACCATCATTTGTGGAAACTATGAATCACAAACTCTTTGTGAAAAATAAAGCTGATTTTATTAATGGCTCAATTAAAAAAGCCCACATGAACAGATTATCACCATCTTAGACATGTAGTAACAATTTAGTTCTTTTATGAATTTTATACTCTCTTTTTAAGAAAATCTTAGCTAGTGTCACCTATACAAATTTAGCCTATTAAATATGAGAAGAGTTTCGAAATATATTTGATAATGTACAGGTCTGAAGTTGTTTCAATTATGATGATAATTAATAATTCTTCTTCAAGAATAGTATTGAATTGGGGCTTATTTTACTAAATTAAAAATAATTTCAGAGGAACTGAAAAGAAAAATACCATCATATTTATGCTGTTGTTTTGTTATAGTCAATAAAGTGAATGGTTATGCTCAACTATAGAATGTGATGTATGTTTTAATAGATTGAATGATTAGTTTAATCAGTTACTTATGGATCCCATTTTATTCATCACCAAGGTTTATTCTCTAGTTTTTCAAGAAGAGAGTCAAAAATAGATAAAAACTCAAAATCTTTTCATAATCAATATTACCCTAAGAACTGCATTTTCAATCAAGACAAATAATACTAAATAGCCACTAAGTTTTAAACATAATAAAAGGCCTAGGCAAGACTGTGCATATTGCACACATTCTAAATTTCATGGTCATTCATACATTTTGGTTCTATGTGATAATGCATAATTATTCATTTTTATGTATTAGTTCATGATATAAGGTGAAACCAAGTAAAATATGCTCTAGATTAATTACATAAAATAGATTTTTAATCTATTATTTTTGCATACCTTTATGTCATGTTTACATTTTAAATATTCCTTGATCATATGTTAGTGAGTTTTAACTAGAAATTTTACCCTGAAATATTCTCTAATTAGGGTTAAATTTTGGATTTAATTGTCAGAGTTCTTTATGTTAGATATAAACGATTTTTCCTAATTTTTGGTGATTTTTCAGAATAACTTCGAAATGTGTGCTGATTTCTAGGGCATATTTTGAGTTCATTTGTGACCCATTTAGGAAGCTAATTAAGAGGTCCATTTGGACAATTTTTTTAACTATATTAAAATGGCTTGAGGAAAAAAAATACCATGCAAAAAAAAGTTCCTACTAACAAATGGGCAGAGAAATGAAAGTCAGATTTTTGCTAAAAGCCCAATCAATTTCTAATAATCCTGATTCCTAACCGGCTGAACTAAAATATAGATCTAATCGGAGTATAAAAACATCAAAGTAAGGGCAAAGAGGGGGTTCCCTTCTTCCTCTTGTTGGATGACAGCTCACAATGTTCATCCAGTTTATCATTGAATTTTATCATTCATGATCTAAATCTAATTTTACTTCATTGTGGATTTTTTTTCTTTAATTCATTTAGGTGACAAGTAAATGAATTAAGGAATTAATTGATTTCTAGACTAATCAATTCTTGGATATCCAAGCTGAAAAGTAAGGCATATCAAGAGCTTGATGTTGACAGGGGAGGAGCATGAGCTTCATGGTAACAAATTGAGAGCAGGATAAGTGCTGAAGATTGGAGATTCTCCTCTTCTACTCCCTTCTCCTCTATTTTACTTCATCATCTAGTTAGATCTAAATTTCTCTGGAGAGCATGAAAATTGTCATTGGATTTGTCATTTTCCTTATAGAATTGACCTGAACTCATGAAAATTATCTTAGTTTGATTTGAATTCCATTCGATAAATCTTGATAACTCTTAATATGACAACTAAGAGATGATCATAAATACTATAAAAGAGTGCTACAAAATACATAGTTATTTACCAATCTATAAACCAAAATCTCATCCTATGATTATTCACCAATTCTTAATATTCAATCTGTGACAAGTGAGATAAATGGACAGCTTGCTACTAACTATGACAAAACTTAATACTAATCAATATCATTAATTTATGACAAGGTTATGTTCACACTTGGTTGCCTTACCATCTTTAGGGATAAGGGAGGCAACATCTTCCTCATATGTAGTAGGTATTTACCTACTCATTATCTTCAAATCCTCACTATTTTTTTCTAAATTGTGGGTTATTGATTCTAGTGTAATAAGAAACATTTGATCTAATACAAATATAACAGTCTATGCTTATATTACTAAGTAACACACATTTTAGTCAGTTTTGTTTGTGATGTAAGGATTAGCTCACAATTGATTCTTAGAGATGTTCTATTTTATCTTCATATTAAATTTAACTTGTTATTTGTTAGTGTAGTGATAATTGATTCACAATTTGAGCTTCACTTCTTCTTCAATTCAACTTGTCACTTTTCCACTTTAGCAAACAATAGTGAAAGAAGAATTAGTTGCCATGGAATCAAATCACATGATCTAATGTGTCTTTGCTTTTGGAAAAACATACCATTGGATGTCATTGAATCTATAAGTCAAATACCATCAATTGATGATTTGATGGATTTGAAACTTTCTCTGAATATATTTCTTTGAAACTTTCTCTACAGTTGTCAATTCCATAATCATCAAATTAATGATTACTGTCATATATACATGGAACTTTCTTTGAAACTTTCCTCAATAGTGGTTTATCAAAAGAAGTGTACATACATGGACCTTATTTTAGGAAATTTCAATAAGGAGAAGATCAATAATCATAGCAAGCTTGTTTGTAAGTTATATAAACTAATCTATAGACTTAAATCGACCCTTAGAAAATCGTTAACTCTAAAACTCACTTCTTGCACTGTTTGCGTTGATGACAAATTTTATTTTGGACCCTCTCTTCCTGAATTAAATTCGTTAAAGACCCTTATACAGACATAGTATAAACTCAAGGATGTAGGTTAATTGAAACAGTTTTTTAGATCATAAATAATTTGTTCAAACACTAGCATTCTCTTATCTCAGAGATATTATGTTCTACAATTGCTTAAAGATGTTCGTTTTCTTGGATTTAAACTCCAAAATGTTCCCATGGATCCACAATTGTAACTTACGACTACCCTCAGACATCTTCCAAAAAATCCATCACATTACAGATGATTAGTTGGAAGATTAACTTATTTGGTATTATTGTGTTTAGACATTGCATTTGAAATGCATAATTTGACTCAATACATGGCTCAGCGTGTCAATTACATCTACAATTTGTTCATCATTTACTAAAATGTTCTCAAATCCACTCCTAGTCAAGGTTTATTCTTTCCTTCCACATCTTAATTACAGCTTTAAGCATTCTCTACCACAGATTGGATTTCTTGTGCTGACTCTCAAAAATCAGTTATTAATTTTTGTATTTTTCTTAGAATTCACTCATATCATAGAACACAACGAAATTTTTGTATTGGGTTTCTAAGTTATTTGCAGAAGCTAAGTGCAAAGTTCTAGTTGTCACTATTGCTGAAATTTTATAACTACAATAGTTACTTTAAGATTTGGGTAGCAAGACATTTCTTCCATCAAATTAATTATCATTTTGTTCTTAGAAGACTTCCTCAAAGCTACATCAAACTTGTTCAAATCACCTCTTAACACTGGCTGGTAGACCTTTCTATAAAACCATTATCATCTTGTTGTTTTTCTAACTTACTGTCCAAGATGACTCAAGAAATTATTTCTAGTCATCTTGAAGGGGAGTATTAAGGTCTAGGACAAGTGTAAATAGCAAGCGTTGACCGTTATGTATATAAAGACATATTGAATAAAGAACTTACTACCGACTGTTCTTTTCTCACCAGGCGCCATCCCCTCTTTTCTATTCCGTAATACAAACTGAGAATGATTTAAACATCAAATGACTAACCTTCTTTGCCCATCGCTGGTGGATTTATCCTTTTTCAGTGGCTGAACGACTGCGTTGAGAGGAATAACTATCCCTCCATTGCACTTCATGGCCCGTCCTTCATCTGTCTCTCTCCTTCTCTCACTCTCTACCAAAACTCGAGAGTTTTCTGAGGCGCTGTGGCCTCATGGGCGTCCTGGCCGCCATCGCATTACTTCCTGATGCTCTGAGCATGCATCCTCGTTGAGAGGAATTCTCGATCGGAAACCTACGAAGTTCCGATGAATCAAAGGCATTCCTGGTTCAAGTGACGACGTACGCGACGGTGCGACGGTGCGGCAGTTGTCTTCGTCCACGTTGCTCCCTCCCGTCATAAAGGTAATGTTTTTGTTTTGTAGCCGGTAAAGAGCTCATGATCAAGACAAAACCAAAGTCAAACGGGTGCCGGCCGTTGTTCTTTGTCTGGAGTTCCAGTCAATGATTCTGAAACGTCACTGCTATTATCTGCAGATGCAGGGAATGACGACGTACGAATACATACTGGCCATATGACGACCTCGATTCCTCCCCTGACGAGAGCGTTGACTTCGATACGGCGGACACACCTTCTCTGGCTTCTCGATTCTTGGCCGGAGAGCGAAAAACAGGTCAGTCGGGCTCTCTTCTCGTAACTGTTTCCTCCTCTTAATCCGGTCAACCATAACCAGAGACGGCAGTGCCCGTTGCATCATAAGTCAACGATGACTGCCGAAAGAGTAAGGAAAGAACCAATCCAGAGTGCACCTCCCACTTCAGCATTGACCCACGGAAGCCGAAAAAGATGAGGGGGGGGCGAAGCGTCCTAGGAAGCAAGAGAGAAAAGCAACTGGAGATCCCCCCGTCCTCACCAAAGCCGCTGCCGTCGGAGATAAAGAAGGGCCCCTCGCTGGGCCTATAGAGAAGCAGAGCCATGGGCCCTCGTCGTGGTCGCCGCCGTCGTCCGCAAGCCCTCCTGGTTCACGGAAGTCACCGGCAGTGGCAGGTCCTTGACCCCAAGCAGGAGGTTCATCGGATCCTCTTCCCAGAAGCATCACAGCTACAGCAGCAGCTTCGACCTGAAGCTCTCGGACATATCCGGCAAGCTCGAGACGTACATCTCCCGGCATGTAATCTGCTCCGTCCTAAGGCGAAGTAAGTAAGACGGCGCCAACGCCTCCCCCGCCTTCGCCCATTAACGACGACCGTCCCACTTCACTGCCGCGGAGAAATACTCCCCTTGCCATCTTTTCCCCAGAATCTATTGATGACCTGACCCCGTGCGCATGACTTACATTTATTTATCCATATCCACAGGAAAATTCGGCCCGACGTAGAAAACAAAGGACTCAACGTCAGAGACGTATCCATCTCCGCTACACAAGACGAAGACTGGAGGGACTGAAGAGGGGGCTTTGACTAGGATACAACTTTAGAGTGGAGCGCCACCAGGGAAGCGTAGGCGCCGTCCTTGATGTTGATGAGGGTACCGTGGCGGCCCTTCTCGACGATGGCCCCGTTCTTGACGACGGCGATGAGGTCGGCGCCCTTGATGGTGGACAGCCGGTGGGCGACGATGACGGTCGTCCGATTGACCATCACCCTGTCCAGCGCGTCCTGGACTACTCTCTCGGACTCGGCGTCGAGGGCGCTCGTGGCCTCGTCCAGCAGCAAGATCCTCGGGTCCTTCACCATGGCCCGGGCGATGGCTACCCTCTGCTTCTGCCCTCCCGACAGCTGAATTCCCCTCTCGCCGACCACCGTCTCGTACCCCTGCACGCGCTCAGAGGATCGTCAAAGAAGGAAAGGAAAGGAATAAGGCGGCGCCGCCACCGGACGCGGTGGAGGATGAAGCGGAGGGGAAGAGGACCCACCTGTTGGAGGCCGCTGATGAACTTATGGGCGTTGGCTGCCTCGGCGGCGGCGACGATCTCCGCCTCGGAGGCGTCTCCGTCCTTGCCGTAGGCAATGTTGGCGCGGATGGAGTCGTTGAAGAGGACGGGCTCCTGGCCAACCAGGCCCATCTGCCGCCGCAGCCACCGCAGCTGGAAGCTCCGAATGTCCTCTCCGTCCAGCAGGATCTGGCCGGAGTCGGGGTCGTAGAACCTCTGCAGAAGCGCGATCGCCGTCGACTTCCCGCAGCCACTCTCCCCCACCAGCGCCACCGTCTGCGGAGGTCGAACAGAACAGAGCCACCATCACGAACTTCGCGGTCGGAACGCCGAAAGAGCTCTCACACCTCTTCCTGAGGTTAATAAAAATTAATGGCGGCGGGCGTACCTTGCCGGCGAGGATGGTCAGGCAGAGGTCCTGGAAAATCTGAACCTCGGGCCTCGTTGGGTACCGGAAGCTGACGTGCCGGAACTCGATGTTCCCCTTTACCTCTGACGTCTGCCCGGTGGGATCGCTGGGGTCGATCTTGGACTTTCGGTCGAGGATGGCGAAGACGGAGGCGCTGGCCGACTTCGCCTTGCTCGAGTCGGGGGCCAGGCCGCTCGACTGCGACAGCCCGATCCCCGCCATGGCCAGGGCGAAGAACACCTGCGGCATCGAGGGCAGGAAAGGAAAGAGGCTGTCAGCTTGGCGGCGATGCCGTGGGCTCCTGGACCTCGGCGGCGATGCTGTGGGGTATTGGTTGTCACCTTGAAGACGTCCGGGAAGGTGGTCTTGCCGTCCTCGACGAACTTGGCGCCGGCGTAGAAGATGGTACCGTAGGTGCAGAAGAGGAGGAAGAAGGAGAGCCCGAAGCCGATTCCACTGACCAGGCCCTGCCGGACCCCCGTCTTCAGCGGGGCCTCGCACTTCTTCTTGTAGAGCTCCATCACCTTCTCCTCTGCAGAGAACGAAGCCACCGTCCGTATGCTCCCCACGGCATCGTTCGCCACCTGACTAGCCTCCTCGTACATCATCTGGCAGAAGAAGAAGAATAAGATAAGGATCTCGTAAGAAGACCATGATGATGAAGATGAGCGGAGTACCTGTGCGTCGGCGCTGAAACCCTTGATGAACTTCATCTGAACCCAGCCGTTGAGACCGATGAGCGGTAGCAAGGCCAGGATGATGAGGGAGAGCTGCCAGTTGGCCACGAACGCGATGATCAGGCCGGCCAACAAGGTCGCCAGGTTCTGGACCACCAGAGCGAGCGCGTCACCGACGAGGCTTCGGACCATTGCGGCGTCCGCCGAGAGCCTCGCGCCGATCGCCCCGCTCGAGTTCGCCGGTTCGTCGAACCAGGCCACCTCCATGTTGACCACCTTCTCGAAGGTCCTCATCCTGATTCTCTTGATCAGCCGGGAGCCCGCCACCCCGAAGAAGTAGGTCCTCCCCGGGTAGGCACCAAGGGAAACCACGCCGAGGACGGTGAACATCAGAGCCCAGAACCTTGTGTCCTTCTTCAGCTCGGCGGCCGGCTTGTAGAACGTCTCGATGATGCTACCCAGCAGCAGCCCGAATATCGGCATTATGACACCGGCCACCGATGCGGAGACCACCCCAAGCAGCAGAACCGGGATCTCCGGCTTGTTCATGGCAGCAAGGCGGTAGACGGACGGCGGCTCGGGGGCGGGCGACGACAGCTCGCCGTCGAGCTCCGCCGGCGGCTTCCCCTCCCCGGGCGCTTCGTCGTCGTAAATTCCGACCCCGACCGCCACGACGAAGGGCACCGAAAAGGAGTGAGCGCTGGTGTTTCCGGTCGAGGATCCCCGGCTGATGGACCGTCGGATCTGGCTCGACTGCCGGCGGATCTCCGTCGACGACGCGCTCCTCTGATAGGCGTACGGCTCCTGCTTCGCCGTCTCCTGCAGGCGGATGAGCTGGGAGTATGCCCCCTCCAAGTCCTTGAGCAGCTCCTCGTGTGACCCTGCGCAGAGGCGCCGACCACCGTCACACTCCGGCGCCATCGACGGCGAAACCAACCGGGTTTCAGAGGAGCAGGCGGGTGAGACGACGGCGTACCTTGTTCGACGATGCGTCCCCGCTGGACCACGGCGATGTTGTCGGCGTTCCTGACGGTGCTGAGGCGGTGGGCGACGATGATGGTGGTGCGGTCCCTCATGACCCGGTCCAGCGCCTCCTGCACGATGTGCTCCGACTCTGCGTCGAGCGCGCTCGTCGCCTCGTCTAGGAGGAGGATGCGCGGGTTCTTGAGGATCGCCCTGGCGATGGCCACCCGCTGCTTCTGCCCGCCGGAGAGCTGCGTCCCGTGCTCCCCCACCATCGTCTCCAGCCCCTGCGGAAGAAGAAGATGAGGATGATGATGATGATAATGATGATGACGAAGAAGAAGAAGACGTCAGCTCTGACCTGGGGCATCTTGTCGATGAACTTGGCCGCGTTGGCGAGCTCGGCGGCGGCCCGGATCTCCTCGATGGTGGCGCTGTCTTTGCCGTAGGCGATGTTGTCCCGGATGCTGGCGGTGAAGAGTGCGGGCTCCTGGCCCACCAGCCCAATCTTCCCCCGGATCCACCGCAGCTGCAAGTCCCGGAGGTCGACGCCGTCGATGAGCACGGCGCCGGACTGTGGGTCGTAGAACCGCTCGATCAGACTGACCACCGTCGACTTCCCACTGCCGCTCTGCCCGACCAGGGCGGTGGTCGTCCCGCTCGGGATAACGAGAGAGAAGCCGGTGAAGATCGGCTCCTCCGGGCGTGCAGGGTAGCTGAAGTGCACGTCCTTCAGCTCGACGTCCCCCCGGAGGTCCTCCAGCGTCCTCCCCCCCTCGTCGTACGCGTCGATCTCCGGCTTCCTCTCGATCGTCTCGAACATCTTGAACCCCGCAGCCTTCCCAGCCGCGAATGCGCTTATGCACGGCGACGCCTGTCCTAGCGAGCTTCATTTCCAGCAGGCAGTTGACCAGAGAAAAACCAGTGGCATCAGGGAGAGAGTATGTACGGAAGAACGGGCAGGAAGGAAGGAAACAGAGACCGGTGGCGATGGCTCACAACGAAGCGGTCAAGATGGCGAAGATCACGCTGATGACGTCCCCGCCGGAGTAGCCCTTGTCCAGTATCAGCTTCCCCCCGTACCATATGCCCAGGGCGTAGCCGAAGAGCATGATGCTGAAGACGGCGCCGAGGCCAACGCCAGCGGCGAGGCCCTCCTGGCAGCTCGCCTTGTACGAAGCATTCAGCGACTTGCTGTACTTATCCACTGCCAGCTTCTCCCCGGTAAAGGAGGCCACCTGCACGCAGAGCACCCAATGAGAAGGACGGAAGACATTTCCGCGGGAAAGTCCGTCCATCTTATGGCGCAGCGGTGGGTGGCGCTACTCACCGTTCTTATGGCACCGATTGTCTGCTCGACGATCACCGACGCCTCGGCATAGGCCGTCTGTCCGCGAGACGCCATCTTCACGATGACCGTGGCCATGACGGCGCCGGCCACCACGAGGGGGGGGATGGTGGACAGCATGACGAGGGTGAGGAGCCATCCCTGGACGAACGCTATCACGAATCCCCCGACAAAAGTTGACACCAGCTGGATGAACTTGCCCACCTGAGACGCAGAGGATGACGGGGATCTTTCAGACCAGAAGAATATGAATAATAACCAGCTAGAAGAAGAAGACGATTTATAATGGACCATAACTCCACCTTCTCGCCCATGGCGTCTTGGATGAAGACCGTGTCTCCGGACATCCTGCCCACGACTTCCCCCGTGTTCGTCTCCTTGTCGAAGAAGCCGATCTCCTGTCTCAAGATGGTCTTCAAGTACAGATTCCTAATCCTCGCTGCCTGCCTCTCGCCGGTGACCATCCAGCAGGTCACCTCTGTCGCAGACAGACCCCGAGGAGGAAGAAGAAGAAGAAGAAAGAAACAGAGTCACCACCACGGCTGCAAGACGGAGAAGATTAAGGAAGGGAGGGAGCTTACGGAGAAACGACGCGAGGCCGGCACCGATGGCCAGGTAGACAAATTGCAGAGCAACCTGCGGACAAATCGAGCGATAAGGGGCAGGGAATGATAGGATAATCAGCTGCGGGGGTGGTTTCCGTGCCCACCTTGGAGACCCTGTCGACGACGTCCTTAATGTCCGGAGACTCCCCAAAGGAGTCCGTCAGGTTCCCGAACAGGAGGGTCATCAGAGGCATGGAAACGCCGTTCGCCATAGCTCCGATGGTCCCGAGAACCATGAGAACTATGTCCGTGGAATCGGCAAAGGAGAAGAGCTTTCTGTAGGAGACGACCTTCGTGCCCTCATCCTCCTTTCTATGGTCCGATCCTGGGCAGCCGCCGTCAGGGGCGGCGTTCTCCAGGCTGCTCCGGGTGGGCCCCACGTGCTTCTCGGTGAACCCCCCGTCTTCGTTCACTACCTTGCCGCCGAGCTCCCCATCCTCATGTCCTCCCATCTTCGGCGAGCAAACTGCCGAGGAAGACTCACCTGGTTACCAACCGCCCTGGAGCTCTTCGTCCGCGGCGGCGGCGACTGTTTGCCGCCGCGTAGGATGAGACCAGCCTGTGGGAGAGGGAGACCGAGCAAACAGGCTTAAGACACAGACATCAACGTCGATATGATGAGTGAGATCCAGAGAAGGAAATCCCAAGAGCCCCTTCGAGAGAAATTATGTGAACATCATTTTATCCCAACAGATCCGGAAAAAAAAACAATCTCGGATTCCCATGAACAGCGATGCAGATCTCGGCACGCCAGGAGCAAAAGCGCACTTTCCGCCATTAAATCAAGCTCTGCTGATCAATCAATACTGAGGGAAAAGAAGGATCTACGCTGTCCATTTGGAGGGACGGAGGCGGGGGCATGTCGATCATCCCACCAACCCTCCACGTTCCCAAAAAAAATGAGAGAAGAGTAGTCGAGAAAAGACGAAGACGACGACGACGACGACGAAGAAGAACAAGAGGAAAGGCGGAGAAACAGGAAGAACAAGAGGAACCCACCTTGCAGGCGGAGGAGAAGGGGCGACTCTGCAACGTACGACTCTCCCGAGGAAGTTATATTGTTTTCCTTTCCGGTGACTAAATTCATCGAGCAAAGCTCTGCCACGAAGCGGTGGAAAACAGCCTCTTTTGCGTGGGACGCAAGCAGCCAAGGATCAGTCGCCACGTGGAGGGGGGCGTGGTCCTCGGAGCAACATACACGATGACCACTTTCCCCGTGCTGCCCCCCGTAACAGACAGAAAACCAGACAGTTGACATCGCTTTCCAGAATGGCCCCCGCCCCTTCCCCCACCCGCAATAATCGCAAAAACCCACGGCCTAAAATATAAACTTCAACGCCGGCATCGATTTGGACGACAACGAGAGGGCGCGGGGGGGGGGGGGGGCTGGGCCTATATGTAAATATGGCATGATACCTGTCGTATCTGGTTGGGGAGTTGACAAGATAGTCTGCTGAAAAATCTTCCGTGACGCACGTGGCATCGCATGTTCTCACACAGTGGCATATCCGAAGTTATTTTCCTTCCTAGGGGTGGGTAGATAATAAGATCAATTATCTTACGGATGTGCTCTCCAAAGCGGCATATGCACAATCATCTCGTCGGTACGTTCTTTTCACATGAGTCCCTGCATTGATAAAATATGCCGCTCTTGCCCTTGTCAGCAGTGAGAGCCGTGTTCCTGGACGGCAACAAGTCACGGCAAAACACCTCAGCGATGATGTCAGAGAGGGCCCAGGGCTCTGGGCCCACGGCGAGACAGTAAGATGGTGAGCCTGCAACTCCGGCGATAGGCTTTGGTTTTATTGGTTAATCCCCGGCATCGGTCAAACCCCGGTATTTACCAAAACCGCTAAAAATCCTTGACTGGAAGGAACTATCTCATTAGAATCTGAACACAGATGCCGTCCTTTCTAGTCCTTGTTCCCCGTGCTTATTGACCGGAGGGAATTTTTCTTGACTTTTTGGTGATAAAATTTTAGCCGATACCATGCTTTCTTTGAAATATTTTTCGGGTATCCATATTTTTCTCGGTCTCCCTAAATTTTCTCCCTTTCTCTCTCTCCCCATACTAGTCCCGGAGTTGAGGGTCCAAGTTTGGAAGAGAGAGAGAGAGAGGGTCGTAAAGATTCCACTCCCACGATTTTCTAGGCCCTACCTATTTTCTATTTTATATACCTACCGATAAACGACGTGGCGGTCCAAGAGAAACCATTAAGCCGATAAATGACATGGCGGCGCGCCGTTCGGAAGCTGATTAATTGCAAGCTGGCGGTGGGCCACAAGATTCCTTTTGACTTGGGTTTCCACTCCGCCGCGGCCACTTGATCCCGGCGACACCGACAGCCTGCTAAAGGGTTTCTTGCTCCGCAAGCCCCCGCCACTGCACTTTGACTCGCAACGGCCATCCCTTTCGTTCAAGACTTCATTGATTATCTCTTTCTCGAAAATATAATCTGATATATCAGGAACCTTTTCACGGATTTATCTCATGCCTGGAGGATTTCTCACTGGATTCTCCTTTTGACTCGTCTACTTCTGCGTTTGATCGTCATAGCAACCGTCCACCATCAAGACGCTAATGGGTTTTGTTGACGGATCAGTAGGCGCGTGACAAGTATCCCCATCTCTCTCTCTCTCTCTCTCTCTCTCTCTCTCTCTCTCTCTCTCCCACACATTTGACAATTTGAGGGTATGAAGACAAATTTTGTCACACAATATTCACATTTGGCACAATCTCAAAGTGATTGCCTCTCAAAGAATCTGGTGGTAAGTTGAGGGTGATTGATCACCGGGCATCAAACCCCACCTTAGGTAACCTCAACGACCCATTGTCATCATCAACCATCAGCATGCCATTAGTATATGTGGCTGTTGTCAAATTACTATGTTGCCAAAATAATTGGTCCCTATATTTTCATGAATTATATTTGATTAAAACTTTCGTTTCTAACATTATGCATGTTTCCTATTTTTGTCATGCTAAACGTTTTTTCATTTTTAAGCTGGGGGAAATAATTAACGTGGAGAATAGGTCAAACTTTGTTAACCAAGACTCTCATGGCATGGTGATTACCAAAGGTGGGGTTGATATCTTAATTCTACTTTTATTAATGGGGAAATCAATCTTAATATTCAATGGCTAAGTTGACTTTACCTTTAATTTTTCTTGGTCATGCAGAATGTGTCAATAACCACAATCAATACCATTTGACTCCACTATTCTAGTAAACTATCCAACTAAATGATTTTTATGGGGACCAATCCTAGTTAAAACTGTAAATATGGTGTTTCTTAATACATAAACCTCATCTAGCTCATGATGTTAATTATTACATATCAAAATAAGTCATTAACTATAAAAAAATTGAGGCAAAATGATAGTTTGATAGCATTGTAACCAACTTTACAATCTTCATGGAGTATCTTGCAATATAAATTTTGTCACAACAAGATACAAAAATTCATACAATTTATGAAGACATTGTTGGAGAATTAATTGAATACTATTTTATGATGATAAATTTATATAGTAAACAAAAGTATACCTGAATATTATTTTGGAAATGAGCATAAAATTAAATAAGACAAATTAATAAAGAGTATAAAGTAATATTTTTAGATTTCTGAATGGGATTTAATGAGTGTGTTTGAGTCTCATATTATAATATTTTTAAAATTATTACTTTATCACTCCAAATTATTACTTTGTATCTTATTATATGAAATCAGAATATCTAAAAATATTACCATTGATAGAAAGTAATAATTATAATATCTGATTTTATCAGAATTATTGAAATAAAATGTGGGTATGAAAGCTTATCTAATATATAAGATGCCTATACTACAACATTATTGTTTCTAATTATTCATGATATTAAGTTAATCAATTGAATCTGAAGTATTTAAATAACTATTTGAGATTTTTAAAATATTATAATTTATGATAATAATAAAAAAATAAAAATTTTAAGGGCAACTTATGACTTAATTGAATCAAACCTAAGTTAACATCTCTTTAATTAAAACAAGTCGTCTAAACAAAGAATTTGCTACACATCATAAATGATTGTTTAATGAATAATTTCAATCTGAAGTTAATATCATTAATTTCATTGTTTTATTTTTTCTGAATTTATTGAAATAACCTTTTACATTATCAAACAAAACTAAGACTTTAAACCCAAAACATTACACTCACATCTTCAACAAATGGAGCATGGAATGATAAATGATTTCCTAAATATTAACTTTTTAGTCAATAGTACTTTTGATGTTTACAAGAAAACTATCTTTTTAAAATCAGATCAGTTTTATGATCACTTTTACATGTTTTAATGATGGCATTATTCTATCTTAGCCACTAAACAGATTTGAAAGAAAAATGAGTTGAGGAAATTGTATCTTATCTTGTGTTTTCAAGTAAATGAGTTGCTTACAAAAAGTTTACTCATATACATTAAGAATAAATAATTTTTCAAACTAAATAGTGAAATTAGGAATAGAGATGAAATGCTACTATATGGCTCATGTATAGGTAACCATTGAAATGGTTGAATTGATAGTTTATTCTCACCAATTCTTACATTGAAAGAGGTAAAGCCTGGTATTTATAGAAACCTTGAGACCAAACTAAAAGCAAGAGAGCCTTCTAGGACTGAAACCTTTACAACTGATTAGGGAAAGAAAGAGGAAGCCAGTGGTTGTGTGAAAATGTCAATCTCACACCATCCAAAGTTTTCACCTTCATGCTTCCATGAAGTAAACTATATTGCATGTATTTTGGCTATATTGTAGAGGTTTGTCACTAGGTGTGCTGAATGCAAACACATTGATTCTAAAATTATGTAGAATGGTAAGTTGGGGATTGTATTCAATGAGTGTTTTCAAAGGTAGCAATAGAAAATAAAGAATATTCCCTTTAGAAGAAAAGTGAAGGAAAGGACATAAAACTACTATGACTATCTTATTTTATGACTTCTTTTCATGTGGAAGAGTTACACAAATTCTTGTCTAACAAGTGCCACTAAAATTTCCTCATGGAAATGATAAATCCTATAGCACAAAGTGCTACTAAAATTTTCTCATTAAAGTTCTTTTAGCAATCAATGGTGGCCATAATATAATGTCTTAAAAAGATAGAAAAAAGAAGGTGTACATCTTTACCACCAAAGGACCATCCATTTACAATAACAAAGGATAAAGAATTATCTTTTACAAGTACTTGTGATAGTACTTGCATGCTTTTAATGATTCTCTCCCTTGATTCTTAGATTTTGGGAGTTGCTAGATAATTGTTTCCATTATAGAAAATGCATTTTCCATTTTAGGATCAAAATTATCTAGGAATTAGAAATTTCTTATCTTTAACATTTTATTTTGCCTTACATAATATGATTATTTTTATCATATAAACTAACTAGTTTTAAAATAGATTCGAGAGTGTTTTACTACCATTTTTTTGAAATTTAATCACTTCTATAGCATTAAAAAATTACGATAAACTTTTTAATGTTTCCATTTTCTTTATGCTATCAAAATAAAATTATAGGATTAACCTCCTTTGATCTCAATTACAAAGAACTCAAGCAATGTAAAATGATAAACTCAGTATTTCTGTATTTGGCAGTATTTTCAACTCTTAAATAGGTGATGGACTTAAAAATTCAACAAGCCAACTAATTCAGAAAAAATAAGCTAAAGTATAGGCACCTAGTAAATTGTAGACGATGAACATCACTTATGTTGACTGATAATGCTTTTTTTTATATAAAACTAAGGTAAAATAAAGAAATTTATCACATAAATTAATATAAATATTAATTATTGATTTTACAATATGTTAGTAAATATGAGTTTGTGTTCAATTTCATCATTTTTTTATAATATATGCAAGAAGAATATATTTGTGATTTTTAATCCATGTGCTAAGATGATTATCAAAAGTTTACAATCTTCTGAAATACTTTACAAGGGACATGAAGTCAATTGTGAAGTTAAAATTAAAAAATAGATTTATCATATATTTTTTAATAAATTTAATTTTTAAAAATAGTAATTTAGAAATTATCTAAATAATGAGAACAAAATGTAGTGATTCATTACCACATCAATAAGAACATGTGATAAGTCTTCATTATCATGAGTTAATAATTAGTAAATAATATAGTTTTAGTCTTAACTCATGATAAATAAACTTATA